ACTTAGGAAGTTCAAAATTTCTGAATTTTTAATGATTAAACAAAAAATTCTACTATTGCTGTCTTGTGTTACATTTAAGTCGCTGATGCACACAATACATTTATTTATGCAGTGCTAAGGATTGAACCCAGTGTCTCATGCACATAAGGCAAGCACTCTACCACTGAGCTACAACCCCAGCTCTCATGTTACTTTTACCTAATTTTTAAAAAACATCTGTTAGCTGCTGTTTTAATGGCCAATAGAAACTTTTTATCTGGAGGGCTGGGTTGTAGCTCAGTGGTTGAACACTTGCCTTGCATGTGTGAGGCACTGGGTTCAATCCTCAGCACCACACAAAAAATAATAGTTATAAAAATACATATATATTAAAATAAATAAAACAAAAATATTGTGTCCATCTACAAAAAAAAAAAAAATATATATATATATATATTTTTTTTTAAAAGAAACTGTCCTTTGCAGTGTTCCCTTAAAAAAAGAAAGAAAGAAACTTTTTTACTTGGAGATGCAGTTACATTTAATTATCTCAAAAATTACCTGGGTGGTCTGTGCATATCCTTGAGTTGGCTGGGCGGTGTAAGCACTGTAGCTGCAAAAGAATTAAATGCAAGAACTGAACATAGAACGTTCTTATTCCATTACTATATCTTCTACAATTATAGGAGGCTCCATACTCTAAAAACATTAATCACAGACAAAATATCACAAAAAACTGACTTACCCCTGCTGGGCTGCAGCTTGGCTGTAGGTACTGTAATCTAGAGGAAACAATGAGAGAAAATAGTATAAAGTCAGTAAAGACAAGATGAAAGGGAAAAAAATAAGTGCAAGGAATTCAAGGTACCAAGAACCCTAAACTATTTAGAGGGGACTGACACAGGTCCAAATGAGTACTTCTTATTTCTCAACATCAACCAAGCCAATTAAGTCTAAGTTAGTTAAACTCGGAAAGTTTGAATATGGTGCTAACTTAGGAGATCAAGATCAGCTGATGTGGCAAGGATCCTTTGCATGTTCCCATGACCATAAACCCTCTTGAATCACAGGCTATCATTTCAAATGCATGATCATTCTAAGGTTATAGAGGATCAGATGTTTTACATTCATAAAGAAAGAAAACATGCAACAATATCACAATGTTTAACACCAAACTGATTAGATTAGCAGTTGCATCTCCTCAAAAACTAGTTTTTCTATCACTACATCTTGCTTTGGTGAGCAAGACCAACCATAATTCCCTAGCACAATGACACTGAAATGGAATGGCAGAAAACTATATCTAGTGTTATAATCTAGTGTTTTAAAAGAGTCTGCCAACTGCATCAGGGCTACATCAGTATAGTAACTCAAAAGCTAGATACAGTATAAATCCTAGTGCAGTCAAGTTAAGTAGAATCTTGAAAATTGTCAAAGAAGAGAAAGCATTTAATCCGCCAGGGAACAATATGATTTTAGATAACACTACTGTATTTCTTAAAATCCAAAGTGATTTGGAAAAAATAAAAATGAAAAAGTATCCACAAATTTTCTTCTTTCTAAATAAATACTCCTACAATTTTCCTTTCCACAGCAAATTTACAACATCAAAAGGGACTGCAGCCACTGAGGTTCTGCAGCAAACAGCAAATAAAACCGCTAAGTTTTCATAGCACTACTGAATTAAAGTTATATAAGTTTAGGTGTTTTCTCCTCCTAAAGGCAGCTAACGTAACCATATTAAATTCTGCCCAATTCTTTCCTCTCCACAAGAATACACATCCTGTTCAATGCTTGAAGACAGTACTGCCATTAAGATAGGGGAAAAAAGGGTCCTTTCTTTTCCAGTCAGAAAGTAGTCCCTCATCCAAAAGCAACAGTTGACAAGTCAGTTCTTCATGGAGGGATTCTACCCCACTTGATGAAATCCAAAGACTGCCTCACAATCTCTTGGCCTCAGAGTTCTTTGCTGAATCCATCTCTTTAAGTTGGTTTGTTTACCTCTTTGCACTTAACTTTCCTTCCTCACTGAACACAGAACCCCGAATCATTAACATTACCAAATCAACTGCCCCAAAGATATCTATAACCAAAAAACCCTGATCTGTTCAAGATAATCTTAAAGCATTTTTAATAGCACTACGTTACATTCTTTACACAACCTATAAAAATTAAGTGTAAATCATTCCTTCCATATGGCATTCACAAAATACCAATGAAGCATCTAAAACAAAATATTTCAACCTACATTTTACTGATGTTTCTATAGGAGAAATGATTTTAAATCAATGACATATAGTTCAATACTTACAAGACTTCTACACAAGCGCAATTATATAAAGCATAAAATTGGCAAAGCTGATATGGAACAGCTAATGACCTCAGTTCAGTGGGAAACCAGAAGACTTGGGTCTCCTGTATGGTGGGAGTAAATTTGTTGTTTCATGAAAACCTTACAGCACACAAACATCATATGGCCTCAAAAATGCTACAGTTACACACTGATAAGATTATTCAACAACCAGTTGTGTTTGTTTCCAATCCCCAAATGCACAATTGAAGACTTAACTAAAACACAGCATAGGCCAAGGAGAAGGGCTGAAGTGGGGGATTAGGGCCCAGAATGCTGGTAATTTCTATTTCTTGGTGCAAATGGTGGTTAGAGGCTTTGTACTATAATCCTGCTGAAATGGACATACCCTGCAGGTACTTTACTACCTATATAAATGAGAGGGGAAAACACCTAACCATTACCCAAGATAGTGGAATTAGGGCTGTCACTACCCAAGATGTAGAGATCTAGAGCTTCAGATTACATAAGGCATTGAAGTCAGCATGGGGCAACTCTGGGCAGAAATGCTTTTGCTGTAAGGTCAGGAGGGCTCAACAAACTTTTTTCAAAGGTCAAACTTACATAAAAAAGGTCTAGCATACATACTCCCACATTTTCCAGGAAAGGAACCCAAGGTGCAGATAAGTTATGTTATTCCCCAAAGGTCGCCCAGAAGGGCTTAATCAGGTGTGGCCATGAAAACCACGTGCAACTCTAATACAGTATACTGGAAAAAGGCATGTTCAGCAATACAGCAACTTGAATGTACACATTTGGCCCCCTCAGGCTTTGGGAGGCAGGAATAGGGTGGAAAGGCATTGGGGAAATCATTTCCCACCAGAATGTCTTGGGACATGGTATCTCAGTCCTCTCTTCTAGGGGACACTCCTGGTAGTCTGACACCAAAAGCCAACATTTACCTTTTCCTGACCAGACAGATGGGCAGAGTTCTTAAATTGTCCTTCACCTGCTGGATGCTGAAGTCTTTCCAAAGTAAAACTCTGAAGGACTCAGAGTTTTCCTTCCCTCTCATTCGGCTCCCCCCTTCCTCTAAGGCCTGGAATCCGGCCCGCTTATGAATACCCCCAGAGGCAAAACACTCCACACAGCCAATAACCCTGGATTAGAAAACGACAAGCTGCAAACTGCAGGCGAAGGCTGCGGGGCAGTTAAGACCCCCCTATCCATATTCTAGAGTTCTCACCCCGGGCTTTCTTTTAAAGTTCACTCTGCGCTGCTCCCCCCCACCCCCGCCCGCCGCATCAGTTCACGAAATAAACAAGCTTGGCGAATATTAAAACGTGCAAAACGATGGCTGAAGCATAATTCAAAGGTCGGCTAGGGCTTTTTTGTCCCTCTTGGATCAAAGAGGCCAGAAATTTCTTTCTGGTAGAAATTCTGGTCTCCCGATCCAGGCCGGCCTTATTATACAATCGATCTCCCTCGGCGTTGGCTGAAAAGGGGCCCCGGGAAGCCACTTAATTGCTTTTTGGGGGAGGAAGAGGTAATGTTAACACAATACTATAAAAACTGGTAAGTTCAAGGGAGCAGCAAATTGGGGGCCTCTAAAGGTAGGGGACATTCCGTCTGAAGGCCAACGGGGCAGAAGTCGTGCTCGGGCTGAAGCCGCCCAGGCGGGCAGCTCGGCAGCCCCACTTCACCGGGCCCGAAGGATGACGGGGCTCGCGCTCATAAGCCGGCGCCCCTCAGCTCACATTGCGAAGCCTTTTTTGTTTATTTGCTTTTTTCCCCGAGTTTCTCCGTGGAAAGAGTCGCCCTGGAGATAGGGCCGCCTCCCTGGGAATCGGAGGGGGTCACGAGGGCAGCGGGCCCGCGGCTTCTCCTGCCCCCCTCTTTCGGGGTGACAGGCTCGAGGCGCGACCGCGGACCCCCCATCACGCGGGGCCTCAGAGGCCGCAGGCCCCGCCCACGTGGCGGCCGGAGCGCGGGGCCTGACGACCGCCACACAATGGAGGCCAAGACGGGCCCCGCGCGCCCCCGCTGCCGCGAGCCCCCCGCGCGCCACGGGAGCCGGAAGGTTCCAGAATTGGCCCACCCGGTGGGGGGAGGGGAGAAAACGGGACCGCTGGCCCCCCCCGAACTCGTCGGGCCGTGGCGGGTACCTCCAACCCCTCTCGGCAACTCCACTCAGTCATCTCGGCCACCCCCAAAAAGGAGAAGCCCCCAGTTCGGGCTTCCAGACCGTCGCCTGCGCGACCGCAGTTCCACCACACTTACCCGTGGACGCCATTTTCTCTCCTTCCTCCTCGTTCTCTCAACGTCCGTCTCCCTCTCGCTTTCCCTCTAGGCGCCGCACTGCGCAGGCGCGAAACTCGCAACCTCGGGCGCTACCATCGGGCCAGGCCACGGGGGTGGGGGAAGAAGGAATGAGCCACTGCTTTTTCGATCTTCACGCCCGAAACTGTTGTCCCAGTCTTCTCTTAAGATCGCCGACGTGACGCGAGAGCCAAAATAGCACCGAAGGGGCCGGAGTGGGTGGTGAACCGGTGTCAGTATCAAACCAGAGCGATTCCCCGCACGAGGCTAGGTCGTTCGCAGTGGTTACGTCCGCGGGCTCAAGGGACCGTCTCTGAAGAGTCTGCCCTGGAGGGAAACGGAGGCCGGCGGGAGAGGCTGGGGGAAGGGATCGGGGCCTAGAACAACTGCTGACTAATCGACGGGCGGCGGGCGGCGTGGGAGGGGGAGGGGGTTGCGCTTTGGCCGGTCGGCTGGGGTCACGCGCCTTCGTGCGCGCACGATGGGTTTGGAGACCCTGGGCCTGAGCCCGGAGCCGGAGTGCCGACTCCCAGCCGGGGGGCCCCGCCCGGCCCGCCGGTGTGGGGGGCGTGCTCCGCGGTGAGTACCTCGGACGCGTGGCCGGGGCCGGCGGGGGAGGGGACCGAGGCCGGTGAGCTAGGTGGGACACCCCGAACGCCTGGCCGGCCCCCGAGGGCCCTCCCCCAGTAACGGTCGGCCTTGAGAAGGTCCTTTAATCTTCCCGCATCCAATACCCTTGTCTTAACAGAAGGGGAAACTGAGGCCGGAGAAAGTTGAGTACTTTCCCCAAAGTCACAAAGCTGAGTTTGGCCCAGACCCTAGGATACCCACCAGCCCACTCTGTCCACCATCCGGAAGAATCCCTGTCCTTGACTTCCCATTCGGTGCTCCTGGCTTCCCTCTAAGGTAGGCAGGGCCTTGGGGTACTCAGCCCCATTTTGTGAATTGACGAAGCAGCTCCAGAGGGCTCAAGTCCCAGTTCTGTGTCTGTGGGCAAGTCCTTCACCCTTGTTTTGGTGCCCAGTAGGTGGATGGTTGTGAGGGTGAAAAGGAAGTTTGCTGCGACCTTAGACTCTACCCCCAGGCAAGGCTGTCACCTGCCCACTTTCCCAAACCTCCCCCCAGTCGCATAGGTGGGTGCTCAGATCCAGTGCAGGGCAGGCTCACCCTAAATTCCTGAGCAGAACTGGAAGCCAAGTTCGGTTTTTTTTTTTTTTTTTTAGTGAACACAGAAAAAGCACCAGCTGTGTGCTAGGAGTACCCTGGTCAACCTGGGAATAAGAGGAGCCCCTCCTCCTATGAATTCAAACTACCTACCTCGGGAGGCATGCCAAGCTGTGCTCATGAGATAGGATAAGAGCTATGAAATGAAGTGTCAGAGGGGAAAGGACATTTGAGCTGGGTTTCAAAGGGTGAGTAGGAGTGTGTCGATTGGAGAGTTGGAAGGAAAGACATTTCAGGCAGAGAGGTTTTCCTCATTTTCCCCGCAGGACCTGGCAGATGCAGGGGCTGCCCTTGGCAAGGAAGCTGACTAGGCAGCCTTCCTGTGTCTCTGGGATCTTGCTTTCTTCTCTGAATTAGCTCAGTAGGCATCCTGAGACAGAGGCCTGGCCAGGGGTGAAGGGGCTCCAGCAGGGGCTGGAGGACAGCCTAGATGTCATAGGGGAACATGGGGGAGAAAAGAGCTTTGCTTTGTGGGCAGGGAATGACAAGGTTTGGAGCCCAGAACTTGGACCAGAGCGGTTTGAACAACTAACTTCCTATTGAGGCTCTTCTTTGGGCCAGTTGGCAGCTGTATGTGCATATGTGGGGATGAGGGGATGGCTACAGTTTACTGAGCAGGAACTGTAGGCTGGAGCCTGCCTTAGCCTATTTCTTTCTCTTCTCACACTATGAAGAAAGGATTTTCTTATTCCCCATTTCACAGATGAGAAAGGGAAGGCTCAGAGGCTGGGAAAGTTGCCCCGTCATATAGCAGAAAGAGATGGAACAGATATTGGTGTTTTATGTGAAGGGAGGAGTTGGGGCCAGAGAAGCTATGCTCAGGGTTGAGGAGGAGGAGATGCCTTAGTCCCAGGTCATTTTGTATGGCTCACAGTGTGGGACCCTGTTACCCCTCTGCCAGTCCTCCCCCACCCCCTCTCCAGTCTGCCCATTGGCTGGCTTTGACCCCTTGGTCAAGGGCAACTGAGGCCATCTGGAACCCTAAGACTGGGCAAAATGGAGTAGTAGTGAGAGGAAGGTAGTAGTCTGAGGGAACTAGGAAGCAGAAGGTGGCTAGAGGTGGCCCTGAATATGCCCTGGGGGAGCTCTACCCTTCTTTTCTACAGTCCAGGGCCCCAGTTAACTTCCCTGGCCCGGTACCAGGGCCCATCTGAACTCAGGACTTTCACACATGGGCAGGTGGAAGGGAAGATGGATTGGGCTCTGGGCTCCACTGTGGCCAAGCTGCTGGGCCTGCCTCTCCATCCTTAGTTCCCAGCACTGTAAAATGAGGCGGGTCAAGTGTGGGGAGTGAGAGAGAGAAAACCTGCAGTAGTAACTGTTGTTTCCCTTACTCCCACAGCACAGAGTCCCGGGATCACGCTTGACCTTCCTCAGCCAACTATGCATGCCAGGGAACCCCCTGGCCTATTGTCTCCAGCACTGCCTCTTGCCTCCTCTGTCCTCATGCTGCTGATGAGCAGCCTGTGGCTGGTGGGGGCCGGCCCCAGCCTGACCCTGGCCCCGGAGCTGCTGCTGGACCCCTGGCAGGGTGAGAGCCAGCCAAGTGGACCTAGGAGAGTCTGGAGAGTTGCTGCAGGGTCTGCCATCAGTTGGTGGGAGCAGCATGGTTGTACAGGGGTGGGACCTAGTACCCTGGGGACGATCAGCTTAAACAGGAGCATGCCCAGCTCATCCACAGCCAGGGAGGGCCAAGGACCCTGCAGAAGGGCCAGCAGGGTGGGGTGGGAACTTGTGGGGAGGAATTCTCTTCTGACAGCCTTCCCTCAAAATCAGTACTAAGCTTTCAGCTAAGCATGAGGATGGGGAGGAGGTGCTAGGGCTTGGAGGAGTGGTCCCCAGTTGAGCACTTGTTTGTCAATAATAACAACAGCTCCTGTTTATAATTGAGGAACCCAAATGATGCTCAGAGAGGTTAAGTAAATTGTCTAAGACCACACAGCCTAGGGAGTGAGGTGGCTCCAGGAGTGAAGCGGGAAGTCTCGTGACAATTTGTGCTTCCACCTGGGCATGACGGATTTGGTAAATTTTATAGAGCACCTTCACCATGCCTGACACACAGTGAGTGCTCCATAGTGAGTGCAGAAGACTTGAGTGGTTGGTCCTTTGTTCTGTTTAACACAACAGGGGTGTGGCCACAACATTTGGAAGTCCTTGGTCCCCTCTACTTGGTCCTAATCCCTAATAGTGATTAGGTGCTAGTAGTGAGCACACTGCTTCCTGATAAGGGGAGGCTGGTTTAGGAGGTGGTCCTGGTGGAGGCTGATCCCCCGACCTAGCACACCTGGAACAGCCTTGAAGGGTGGGGCCAGTAACCAGGCGCATAAGCCCTTCTCTCTCCCAGTGCACCGGCTGCTGACCCATGCCCTGGGCCACACGGCCCTGCCTGGCCTGCTCCTGAGCCTGCTGCTCCTGCTTGCCCTGGGCTGGCGGCAGGAGTGCCACCTGGGCACACTACGATTCCTGCACGCCTCTGCCCTGCTCTCCCTAGCCACTGGGCTGCTGGCTGTGCTGCTGGCAGGCCTTGGGATGTCCAGTGCAGCTGGTAGCTGTGGATACATGCCTGTCCACCTGGCCATGCTGGCAGGGCAAGGTCACTGCCCTAGATATTCCCAGGGGCTGCTGCCACCGTGGTTGCTGCCATGGCTGCTGCTTGCCCTGACCCCCCTGCTCAGCTCCGAGCCACCCTTCCTGCAGCTCCTTTGTGGCCTCCTTGCTGGCTTGGCCTGTATCCTTTGCCTGAGCACAGGGCCCGTGCCTGTGGGTACTGTGGCTAGGGCTCCGGGTGGGAAGGAAGTGGTACAACGGAGTCGGGCCCAAGCAATGTCCGGTGGCTGTGCACACATATCTGGGAGCATCTCCCTCTGGGCCATGCTCTGGGCTGGGGACTGGGGGCTCATGACCAGGTGGAGGAGCCAATTACAATTTAAAGGGCCCCATGGGAAGCCTGGGGGTGCTGAGGTGATCGAGGAGGCACTAACAGGACCCACTAACTTGGGTCCTGAAGGTGGCATCTGTGCCAAACATTCAGGAGGGAAGGGTTCAGGTGAAGAGAAGTGAAAAAGCGGGCCACGTGGCGGGCAGAAAGGGCGAGGGCCAGGGGCGGGAACAAGCCCGGAGTTCTTTGGGAACTGAGAGTGACAGTTGGCTGGAGGTGCAGTTGCCTTAAACATAGGCTTTTGCTCCAAAGATGCTTAATACCTGTGGGGGAAACTGCCACCAGAGACAATAGGCTGCCCCTCTACCCCTCTGTGGGGACTTCAAGGGAAGAGTCTGTTTCTGACACCAGCTGCCCAGGCCTGTCTGAATGGAAGCATGGTGGCCTGGCTGAGGCCATGGTGTCAGTGGAACTTTTCCTGGCAGAATCACAGACGTGAGCAGGCAGGCGGGTCCCTGGAACAGCAGTTGGGGTGGCTGAGGCTGGGAGTGCTGGATTGGGAGCAGGCACTTCTGGCTCATGCTCTTGGTTGAGTGGCTTGTTAGGTCCTCCTCTTTGTCTTGCTGTTGCGGGGTGAAGACACTTTTCTTCAGGGCCATGGGGAGTGAGACACCCAGGAATGACCGCCCAGCACTCTCGGCCTGGGGCTGGCCGTGCAAAGCAGACCCATCCCTGCCTGGCTTCGGTTTTCCTTGACCGACTGCCCTGCTCTGGGCAGATGCTGCCAGAGCCTTAAGGTGGCTGGAGCCCTCGGAGCAGCGCCTACGGGTGATGCAGGAGAGCATCTTGTGCAGGACCCTGGCTAGGTGCTGGCCTTTGAGGCTCCTTCCCGCCCCAGGCGGCCTGGCTGAGCTGCCTGTCACCCTTCCTGCTGGAGCGAGGTGAGGGTGATGCTGTGACTTGGCCCTGCTGGTCGAAACCATGGCGGTGACTGGTGGCGAGGCCCTTCTCTGCTTCCACCCTCGCAGGTCTGCCATCCCTGGACCTCCTTACCAAGTCTCCCCTCCGCCCTGGTCCCATGGCGATGGCACAGCCCAGCTCCCGCCAGGCCCGGGACCTGTGCAGCTGACCTGGGAGGACCTGGAGGTGGGCCTGGATTGGGCTGGGTCCCGCTTCCCCCCAGGGGCCCCGATGTGGGCCGTCCTGGATGAGCAGATGCTGCAGGAGGGGATTCAGGCCTCACTGCTTGGCAGGCCAGTTGAGGAGACCCAAAGCCCACTGTGGCTGCCCAAGTCCTCAGTGTCCTCTCTGCGGTAAGCAGGGTTGGGGAGGTTGGGGCTCTGGTGTGGGGCCAGGGCTGCCCGGACACTCTCTCCTTGTCCACTTCACAGGCTGCAGCAGTTGGAGCGCATGGGCTTCCCCACAGAGCAGGCAGTGGTGGCACTGGCAGCCACAGGCCGTGTGGAGGGTGCTGTGTCACTGCTTGTTGAGGGGCAGGTGGACACTGCGCCCCTGGTGACCCAGGAGGAGGCGGCTGCCCACTGCAAGGGCCCTGGGCCTCCCTAACCCAGGCAGAGGGTGGGGGCACAGGCTTGGCCTAAAGGCAGGTAGCCTGAGTCCCTGCTCTGTCCACTGAGCCACCGTGGGATACTGGGGCACCCCTGGGGGCAGGGGAGGCCCCAGCGCATGCTGCCTGGAAGCTTTTTTAAGAATAAAAGCCAATTCATTTTCCAACCTGGGCCTCATGGGAGGCAGCAGTTGCATCTGACTCCTTTGTGTCGGGGTGTGGGGATGAACGAAGGGGTGAGCGAGCGAGCAGTGAGTGGCTGGCTGGGTGGCCAAGTGGGGAGGACATCTCCTTCATGTCCCGAGACACAGGGCTCCCACCCTGCAGTGTGAGTCCTCTTCTCCCAGGAAGCTGTGTCTTTAAGTGCTGGGCTGGGTCCCCTGCAGGGGCATTCTTCATCACTCCTCTTGTCCCCAGGCAGGCCTTCCCTGGCTGCCCTCTGTCCCAGGACACACTGAAGCCAGACGGGGTGGGATTCAGGCAGGGGACCTTTATTGTCCAGTACATATCTACCTCCCAGTGTCTGTCACAGGCACTTGTGAGAGCAGGCAGCCCCTTCTCTGACCTGGGCCCCGGGAAAGGGTGGGGGCTCAGGAGGCAGAACTGAGGCAAAGAGCCCCCCCCCCCCACCAACCAGAGATTAGGCAGCCTGGCCTTGGGGTTGGGAACCCAGCACCAGGAGACAATGAGAGGAGGGATCCTCAGGGAGCTCCCCAAAGTGTGGCTGAGGAGGGAGGTGGAGACTGCCCAGCTAGCATCCCTGTGGGTGGGAGGCCTGGCCACGCACCAGTTCTGGCCTCCACAGTGCCTTCGCATAGAGGCTCGGACAGCTGGCAAGAGACCTCGTGCCTGTGCCCTCTCCTCGGAGGCCTGGGTCACCCCATCTTACAGAGGGGAGCAGGCCCTTTATCAAGTGAGACCTCACCTCTTGCCTAGGCTGTCACTTTCCTCTAAGGCTCCAGTTGCTGCTGTGTTTCAGCCATGCACAGGGCGCCAGAGCTGAGATCTGCCCACCTCTGAGGCCTAGGTGGCAGAAGAGACCCTGAGGACACCAATAAATAGGAACTGGCAGTCTCTGGAGGAGCTGGCTTCGTCCAGTCTAGGAAGGGAAACTGGTGTGGTCCACCCCGAGGGGCCACCACCGCCCTCAGCCTCTCTTGTCCTGGCTCCTAGAGGCCACGATCCGGTAGTTGGCTGTGTGTCCTCCCCTCTTTCCCCGAAGGAGGCTGGGGATGCCTGTGCTGGCAGGACCTGCCCCGGACCCCAGCTCTGGTTCTGCCGAAGGGAACAGAAGGAGAGTCCACGTTAGGGGATCCACACTGGGTGTCCACTTCCTCGTGGCCTTAGGGGGTCCTGCAGGACTGGACACCCTCTGCCAGTGTACCCTGGAGTCTGGGAGGCAGAGCTGTGGGAAAAGAGGGCTGTCTACAGGCTAAGTAGTGCCTGCCCCCCACCCCCCAGGATTTCTCAGCCCTCCAACCCAATGAAAGCATCCAGGGCCTCTCGGTTCCTGCTGTCAACTGGGGATAATAACCAGACCTACTGTGTTTATATGAACTGTTCTGCGTAGAGCAAACGCTCCATGTGAAACAGAGGTGTTTTTTTTTTTTTTTTTTGCAGCACTGGGATGGAACACAGGGCCTCATGCGTGCGAGGCCAGCACTCTACCACGGAGCTACACCTTTAGTTCTTTTTTTCTGCTTTCCTAATTTTGGAGTGAAGGTGTGCCGTGTATCATACCCATTTTGTAGCTGGGTAAACAGAGGCTAGAGAACAGATTGACTGTTCTTGGGTTAGGCCAGCAGTTGGGGGAAGGACTTAGGAGAGCCAGTTTCCCCCACTGATCTACTGTGCAGCGGCAAGCTGAACCCTTGTCAGGGTCTCATCTGTCTCAAAAATCAAGGGTGATTCAGAGATGGGGTGGATCAGGGATCACTGGTACGGCGCTTGCGGAGCATGTGCAAGTCCCTGGGTTCCATCTCCAGCACCACAAAAAATAAATAAGTAAATAAATAATAAAATCAAATCAGGGACATTGCCAGATAAGTCCCTGAGAGGGCCTAGGCAGCTCCAGTAATTACTTAAGTCAGGGTTGGGGTTGGGGCTAGGTGCTTGTGGGGTTGTGGGAGAGCATGTGAGGCACTGGGTTCGATTCTCAGCACCACATAAAAATAAATAAATAAAATAAAAGTAATGTGTCCAACTCTAACTAAAAAAATATTTAAAATAAATTAATTAAAGGTGAAAATTCCAATGGGACTGTGGTGAGATATGTCCCAATCTAGATGTAAGCTGTACCCCAAAGTGAAACAGAATAATGGGCATTGTTGGCACTTGAAAAATTTCCTTCAAAATCCAGAGCAGGAACTTCATCCTCCAGGAATCATCCTGTGCCTCTCAGCTCCGCCTCTTAAAGCTAAATGAGAGCCGGGTACTGTTTTTCTAGCAGGAGAGGGACACTTAGCAAGGAGAGCCCCAGGGTAGTGGCTGAGCCTTCAGAGCCATTTCCAGGACAGTCACGTGGACTCTGCCGAGGGCACCGCCAGGGCGTGGGCTCTGTCACTATCCTAACTGCCAGTGCCCACATGCCCCTGGGCTGAGACGTGGGATCTCCAGAGGAGACAGGCATGTACAGTCACTGTTGAGGGACAGCCTTATGGTGGAGCCTGGGAGGAGCGTGGCACCAAACATTAGCTCCTGCACCAACTAGGGTCAAGACCTGGCCCCACCATGTCCCAGTTAGGTGGTCTTGGGCAAGCCACCAACTTTTGAGTCTCATCTGGAATGTGGAGATAACACTCCAGTTGTCACACTCTTGCAATAAACTAGGTTTAATGTGAGCAGGAGTGAAAAATGGTTTTTACAGTAAATTCTGGACTATATGGTCACTAGATTGGTGTGGCTTGGACTCAGATCTTCTGTAGGTCTGGTCACTAAGATTCGTCATGACATGATCAAATTTGGGGCCCTGTATTTTCCCTGGACCAGGTGGGGGTGTTATGCTGATGGAGTCCAATGAACCAGGGCCCTGGAAGACAAAGTGACCCTGAGAAGGCACGTGAGCCCTCTGAGCCTGTTTCTTTACCTGTTCAATGGGCATTGCCCACCTGGTGACCCTAGTGTAAGGACTGGAGATGATCAATGTGAATCCCAGCCCAGGAGGTAGCTGCCGCTGTTATCAGTGATTATAACCCAAACACAAGCACCATCTGGGTCTTTTTTCTTCTTCAGTGCTGGGCTTAGGCCCCGGCACTTGCTAAGCAAGTGCTCTACCACTGAGCTGTACACCCCCGGCCCCAGTGGGTCCTGTATCAGTCTCTACTCCTCTCCCCTATACTGGTCCCTTCAGGCCCTAACCCAAGCTGACTTCCAAAGGGGCCTGCCTCCAGGGCTTGTGGCCTCTGACAGGGGCATGGGCCTTCCCAGTTGCCTTCTTAAAAAGGTGCTGAGAGTCCGGGATTGGGTTCTTGGTCCTTTGGTCCCAGTGATCCCTTGAATCCCGTGGAGCTCAGGGAGGGTATGGAGGGGGGCAGGTATGAACTGGCTTTAGGGCAGGAGTCTGGGCGTGTCTCCATACCTTGGTCTCCCCTTGTAAGGTGAGAACAGGGCTTGTCTGGCTCAAATGGCCGAGGTCCAGGAGAGTCATTGTGAGAGGAGTCACAAAGTTGGTGAATGGGCTGTGGAAGTGGACTCCACACACACTTTCCAGCCTTCTAGGCTTTTGCCCACGCAGGACTCTTGGACAGGATTGGCTCTCTCCACCCCCCATTCCACCTGGCACACCCAGGAGTCTTCCATGATCCAATGCAAGGGTCCCCTCTTCCAAGAAGTCTTCTCCAACCTCCAGCAGGAAGTGACAGCTCCTCACCTACATCCTTGGACACTGGTTTCCCCAAATCCCTGTAGATACGGGGATTTACGGCCACTGATGGGCAGCTTCCCAAGGCAGGAGCCCAGCTGCTCTGCAAGGCCCATGTGCCCACCTGAGCCTGGCATCCAGTATATGCTCCCTGTGATTCTGCTAAATAAAGGGGGCTTGGTTCTAACCTTGACCCTCTTTCCTGCTTGGGTCCTCAGTTTCTCTTTTTATAAAAGAGACGTAAGTAAGATCATGTCAAGGCCTCTCTGCACTGATGTGTTCACTGGATGTCAGATGCGGTGGCTGGAGGTGGGCGAAGGGCAGCAGGGGGTGAGTAGGAAAGGAACAGAGCCCGGCCTTGGGGCAGTCAATCCATACTCTCCTGGTGCCAGCCACAGGCTCTAATTGAAGGGGCAGGGACACCCTCAGCCTCACCTCAGGAGCCAGGCACCAGGGCGGGTACTCCCACCTGGAGTCCTGACATCCTTCTGTGCCACCCCAGCCTGCCTGCTAGGACCTTCTTACTGTCGACCCTGCCAGATTCTCCAGCCCGACTCTCACCTCTCAGCAACCTTGAGGAACAAGTCCTCTGGGCTCTCTGGCCTCTTGGCCTTTGCTCTGCTGCCTGTTCCCTCTCCCCTGATCTTTGTCCTTCAGGTCACTGCCAAGACTTCACCTGGTCTAGGAAGCCCTCCCTGAGTGACCCCCTCCCACACACCAGCCACCCCACCATAGTACATCTCATCTTGGGTTTCAGAGCCAATACCAGATCTGTCCCCAGCCCCGCAGTGCGCTAAGCTCACAAGGGCAGGGCTGCGTTTGATCTGTTGAAGCCCAGGCCAGCAAGGTGAGTGGCACAGAGTAGGTGCTCATCCACCCAAAACCAGAGCCCTCACTGTGCCAGTCACTGCCTAGTATGGGTGGACGGAAGGATGAATGGATGTCTGCTGGCCTGGGCCACGCATCAGGAGGCACCCTCTGCAGGCCCAGGCCCTTCCCAGTCCCTTCCTGGAAGGGGCTGCCCCTGCCTGCCCACCCTAACATTACCTGGCCAGATGATGGCTTCCAGCAGGGTGACCCGTCTGGCCAGGAGCTCCAGCTGAGCCTGCTGCTGCAGGAAGCTCTGTAAGCTAGGAGCCTGATGGGAGATTGAGAAGAGCAGACGGTGCGACTCTGGCCTCCAGGGCTGGGCAGGGAAGCTGAGGGGCGAACGGGGTGGGCAGGTGCCAGGTGTCTTCAAGGTAGGGACATTTATATGTCTCCACTGAGACCTGCTCTCCCCTCCCTAAGGTGGGAACAGGGTTCGCCTGGCTCCTCAGATGACCAGAAGGGTGGGAATTGTGGGGTAGATGCCTGGGGCGAGGGTCTGTTTTGATCCCTGAAAGGTAACTGCAGGACAGGTGAGGAGAACCAAAGTGGAAACTGCAAGGGGGATACCTGGGGCCAGGAGGGCGCCCATGGGAGAGTCTCTGGAGTCTTAGGGGAAGGGGTCAGGATGTAGATGGTGCATTACACAGAGTCCTCTGGGGCCTGAATCTGGCTGTCACCCACAGTCTACTGCACTTCTGGAGTCGAGCTCCATGACCTACCGTCCCCTGGGTCTGGAGACTGGCTCTATCACCTCTGGATTCTACAGAGCTGGTCTGACTAGAGGCTCCATTTCCCCGTAATCCTCCTGTGGGCCTGGGCTCTGTCTTACCCATGAACCTCTGCACTGCTGGAGTCTGGTCCGTTACCCACAATCCCTTGCTGATCTAGAGTTTGGTTCCATTGCCCATCATCTCTTCCAAACTTACAATCTGTCATCTCTGGTTCCCCACAGGCCTGGAAATCACATCACCCACAATGCCCAGAGGCCCAGGTCTGACCCCAGGTGGGGATCCAGGGTCTCCAGGGCCCCGCTTCACCTGTGGAGGAGGGGCCAGTCATTGAGAGATGGGTGGTCTTGGCCTCTCAGGACTTGTTCAGGCCTCATGACGGGGCTTAGGCAAGTCCCACCCCAGGATGGCTTGGGGAAGGCTGACAGGCAGCAGCTGGGCTGTATGTCCGGCTGTCTGTCTCTACTCACCATAGAGCCCAATCATTGTTTCCAAGATTAAAACCCTCTCAGCTAAAATCTTCAAAGCCTCGCGTAGTTGGTGCAACCCCTCCCCCTGTGGAGGAAAGAGACAGATGCAGCCGTGATGGAGGGAGGGGAGGGGGCCCTGCAAAGCCTGTGTGGCCAATGCCCCACCCAGGACATGCACCTGCAGTCTCTCCCCACCTGCGGTAGCCCAGGGCCCATGGACAGCCAGAACAAGATGGGGCGGGGACAAGGCAGGAGAAAGCGACCCCTGAGGGACCCACCAGAAAGTCCAGTTCAGTCCCAGATGGCTGCAAATCCAGATCCTCTGGAGGCAGGGGGATGCCAATCCACAGAGGCAGAACTGCTGTCCCAGAGCCTGTCCCGATCCTCACCCCAAGACTGCCACGGAGCCCACCCTGACCTTTGATCTCTGCTGCCCAAATCCAGTTGGTCTCGTTTCACCTGCATGACCTCTTGCTATGTCCCTGGGCCACCTCGACTCTCCTTTACTTCATATTCTGTTTTTCGTTTTGGCCTTGGGATTGCACCACCGATTGCTCTACCACTGAGCCACATCCCTAGCCCTTTTGATATTTTCTTTCCAGAGAAGGTCTTACTGAATTGCTCAGGCTGGCCTTGAACTCGCGAGTCTCCTGGCTCAGCCCCCCAAATCACTAGAATGATGGGTGTATGTACTGCATCCAGCTACTTCCTATGCTTTATGTAATTTTGTAAAATTATTTTTTGTGGTTCTGGAGATCAAACCCAGAGCCTCCCACAAACTAGACAAATACTCTAACACCAAGCTCTACCCCCAGCTTCAACTTATATTCTTTAAATCCACTTCTCAAATTTCACATCAGCCTCACCCTAATTAACTCTATCAGTGAGATCAGGCCACTTATAAAGAAGCAAAAATGCCAGGGGTGATGGTGCATACCATTTGGGAGACTGAGGCAGGAGGATCGTGAGTTCAAAGCCAGCCTCAGCAAAAGTGAGGCGCTAAGCAACTCAGTGAGACCCTGTCTCTAAATAAAATACAAAATAGGGCTGGGGGTGGGGCTTAGGGGTTAAGTGTCCCTGGGTTCAATCCCTAGTAAAAAGAAAGGAAAGAAATGAAGGAAAGAGAGAAAGAGAGAGAGAAAGGAAAGAGAGAAAGAGAGAGAGAAAGAAAGGAAAGAGAGAGAGAAAGAGAGAAAGAAAGAAAAGAGAAAGAGAAAGAAAGGAAGAAGGAGAGAGAGAAAGAGAGAGAGAGAGAGAAAGAAAGAAAGAAAGAAAGAAAGAAAACATGTTTGAGTGACATTGCCTTCAGGGAACCTGTGCTTAAAATGCTGGCAGGCCAGGGCCCCTTCCCCAGAAAAGAGCACTCATCCATATTCTGGAATGTCTTCTTGCCTCAGCCTCCCAAGTGGCTGGGATGACAGGTGGGTGCCACCACACCCTGCTGAAAATTTTCAAAATGAAAATGTAGGGGAAAGTTTTAAAAACAACACTGTTTGCAGCCTGCCCCCAACAGGTGGCTTGCTGTTTTCACTGGTGACACCCAGATCCCCTCCTAGCCTGGCTGCACTTTGTGCTTTGTGTCTGGGGCCCGCTGGACACCTCCACTGGGCTGTCACACAGATACCTCCAGCTTTTCCATGAGCAGAGCGGCGGGCTTGCTCCTCCTTACTATTTTAGGTCTGATTCCTCACTTCCCTTCAGAGCCAAAGCAGCACCCAGAGTCTCTTAGCTCCATGGGCATCTGTCCTGCTGCACCCCCCTCAGCTCCAGCCCCCGCAGTCTCTCACAACGATGACCCTGCTGGCCTCCTGTCTAGTTTCTTTCTCTTTCTCCCATGTTGTCCCTTCTCCCATCTGTTCTCCACATGGCCATCAGAAGGATATTTTGCAAAGAAAAAAATTCGACCATATCACTCGGAGTACTTCAGTGACTCCCCGGATGCCTATAAAACAAAGTTCAATTTCATTTGTAAGGGCCTCCTAAGACCCGAAAGCCTCCTTGGCCTCTGTCTCACTCCTTGTCACTCCAAGTATTTGCAGCTCTTCAAATACCTAGGGCTCACTCTTGCCCCAGGGCCTTTGCACGTGTTCCTGCTTCTCTGTCTAAACACCATTTGCCTGGTTATGCAGATTTCAGGCCTAGTCCATCTCCATGTAGAAGATATGGGCTGGGGATGTGGCTCAAGCGGTAGCGCGCTCGCCTGGCATGCGTGCAGCCTGGGTTCGATCCTCAGCACCATATACAAACAAAGATGTTGTGTCCGCCGAAAAAACTAAAAAATAAATATTAAAATTTTTTTTCTCTCTCTCTCTCTCTCTTTAAAAAAAATTTTAAAAAGATACTACAGCCTCTTCCATCATAGTTGAGTTCCCTCTGTCCTGTGGATGGTGATTAGGGTGTCTTTCCCCCCATTCCACACTAATCATCCTAGGAATGGGGACTGTGTCCACATGGCATCTGTGTCCAGAGTGCCCAGCCCTGGGCCTGGCACCACAGACAAAGGGAATGGTAGCTGGTTTCCTCGCTCCCGTGGGAGCTTAAAAGCCTGGGCTCCAGTTTTGGCTGGGCCTGTTTCTGTTTGAATGAAGGGTGAAGGTGGAGATCTATCTAGGTGGAATGGCTCAGGGTCTGCAGTGTACTCCTGTGGTCACTGGGTGTCACTGCAGAGCTACAGCTGTGCCAGGTCAACGTCTGAAAGATGTGCCAAGGGGACATGGGGAGGTGGAGTGTACACAGCACCTGTTCTCACCTATTTCCAACAGAGCTGCCCCCCCATCCAGTCCCCAAAGCCTCATGCAACCCCCAGCCCAGCGGGCCCCTCCGGGCAGGCAGCAAGCAGGGGCAGAAGAGCAGATGGACAAGGGAGGAAGGTGGACGAACAGGGACCTGCTACCTCTTGGGTCCCACATGTGGTCCTGCCCTGGAGTAGGCCAGGCAGCCTGACCCCCTGCCAGGGCTCTCCCTGCAGCGACCGAGCACAGTTTCACTCTGCCCCCACCTGGCTTGTGCCACCTCCCCTGGGTCGTGTTTCCAGAATGAAGGTCTCTGGGGGAGTGAGGGCCCTGGGGAGGCAGAGGACGGGGCTCACACAGACCTGTCCTGACCCCCCAGCTCAGCTTATTTCCACACTGAAACTAAAGAGCCCTGGAGGGAGGGCAGGAGGGTGGCTGGGGAGGCCAGCAAGCAACTGGGAGAGGTAGCAGGCTCCGGGAGTCGCGGGGAAACATGGAGGAGGCTCGTGCAGGGTCGGGGGTCCCACGGCTGTATCCATCCCTGACCCCACAATCAGGAACCGAGAGGCAGGGCAGACACTGCAGCTGCCCACGTCCTCATTAGTGTCCGGGAGAAAGTAGGCTGTCCCGGCCAGACTGCATGGGGAGGGAGGTGCAACCCCATCCTCCAGAGGAGCCCCCCACGGTCTGTCCGGTAGAGGTGTCTGCCCCACCTGACCCACTTTCTATGTCAGCGATGGCCTCCAGGTGCCCGCATTGTGGGGGCCTCAGGCATGGTATGTTCTAGGCTCCTGATCCTTCCCTCACAGGCCTCTGGGGGAGTAGATTTCTAGACCCTGAAATTCCCTTGTTGCAGTTATCCCTGATTATAGAGGTCCCAGGACCCCACATCAACTGTGCAGTTTCTGAGGGTTCCTTTATGCACTCTGTCGTCTGGGTGTCTGACTCTTTCCTTCCTTCCTTCTGTTCCCAGGGTCTACCACTGAGCTATCTCCCCATCCCTATTTATTTTATTTTTTTCTCCGCACATATTGATGGGATTATCCATTTTATTTGGAGACAGGGTCTTGCTAGGTTGCCGAGGCTGGCCTCAAAGTCGTGATCCTCCAGCCTTGGCCTCCGGAGTTGCTGTGATGACAGGGTGTGACACTGTACCCTGCTGTACGTGACAGCATCCTGGCCTCCCTTCCTAACCTTCCAGTTTGTCTGTGCACAGAACGGCACCCAGGTTCTCTCATCTCACTTTCCAGGGTTCTCCTGTGCATGAGACCATTCCTCTTGGGTCCCCTACACATGTGATGATATCTAGGATCCCGTGTTATTTATAGTCTTTTGGACACAGTGGGGTTGAGTCTCCCGACCTCCTTAACCATGTCGAGTGTGTACACATGGTCTCCAGGCCTCCCTCCCTTCCCAGGCTTCCTGGTCTTCCTAGGTATAGGGCTGGTCTAGGTGTCCTGTCCCTGTCATCCAGGGCCTCCCAGCCCCTCCCAGCGTCTAGGCCTTCCTTCCCACCCATCATGGCGCTCCCCTGACCCTTTCTCTTTTTCCTTTTTGTAGGGCGGGGGATCCAACCCAAGGGCCTCACTCATGCCAGGCAAGTGCTCGAGCACGGAGCTACGTCCCCAGTCCTGCTTCATGACTTTCTGTCCTGTCCCTCTGTCCCCTGTTCTGTTCTTCCACGTAGATACCGTCCTCAGGCTTCCCTTCCTTCCACAGAGAGGGGGGCAGAAGCCGAAGTCCTTACCGGGAGGGGACCCTGGTGGCAGGGGATGCAGTCTGGCCTGAGTCAACCCAAACTACCCAGCAGAACCCTGGCCTTGAAAGGGCACAGAGGGAAGGTGAGGCAGGGACAAAGACAGAGACACAGGACATGGGTCTGCTGACAGGGCTAGTGCTGCTCAGCTGGGAGTGACAGGATCGGGGAGAGGGCTGGGCTAAGATGTGCCCAGGCTCCTGCCCGGGAGATCGGGCTGTAGTGGGGATCTGGACGGGGCGCCCCCACTCCCAGGGCCTAGTGAAGAGAGAATTCTCCCATGAGCACCCAGGGCAGGAGAAGGCAGGGCGTCGAGGCCGGACCAAAGCTTACCCAGTGGCTCTTCTCACCAGGATCTCCTTTGGGGCCAGGTTCTCCCTGCAAGGAGAGACAGAGACAGAAGTAAAGGAGGGGAGGAGAAAGAGTAGGGAGGGAGAGAGGGAGAAGAGGAAAGAGATGGATGGAGGGGAGACAGAGGGAGAAAGACTTAGAGAAACAGACAGATGGGTGACGGTGTAGCTCAGTGGTAGAGCGCCTGCCTAGAATGTGTGACGCCCCAGGTTTAACCCCCAGCACCACAAAAAACAAAGAACCCCCTAGAGAGTAGTTTATGTTGGACGACCATTAGATAGAGTCAAATACAGAGGTGGTACATGCCTCTAATCCCAGTAACTTGGGATTCTGAGGCAGAAGGATTCCAAGTGAGGCCAGCCTGAACAACTTAACAAAACCCTGTCTCAAAATAAAAATAAAAATGATGAGGGGCTGGGCGTAATGGTGCATGGCTGTAATCCCAATCAGGAGACTGAGGCAGGAGGATCTCAAGTTCAAAGCCGGCCTCAGCAATTTAGGCCCTAAGCAACTTAGTGAGACCCTGTCTCAAAATAAGAAATAAAAAGGGCTGGGGATGGGGCTCAGTGGTTAAGCACCCCTGGGTCCAATCCCTGGTACAAAAAAAAAAAAAAAAAAGACTAAGGATGTTGCTCAGTGGTAAAACACCCCTGGGTTCAATACCACAAGAAAAAAAAAAAAACAAAACAACTGTTGAAGGCAATGGAAAGTGATAAAGAACAGCCAGAAACAGGACATTCAACTCTTGGAAGAAGGAAATCACACGGGGTAAAATTCATGTATTCATTTTTTCCTCAGAAGGGATGGCCTGGCAAATAGAGTTCAAGCAGCAATCTGTGGTTTAATTTCCCCGAGGAGTTAGAGGTCCAAGTTGAAGCCGCCAGAGAGGAGGGAACTGTGGAGAAACCCTGGAGATCAGGGAGCCCCAAGAAAGGGAACAACATCTGCATAAATGCTGTCCTCTAGCCCTTTGACGATCCACAGGGCAGAATTCCAAGGAGCCCAGGAGAGAGTCAGCAGGTTGGTGGAACTCAGCATGGATTTCAACAATTCCCCACCACACAGGAGACAGAGTTCTGAATGCCTAAGGCTTTCTAATGCAAGTCCAGAGAGGCCATGCTTCAGGAATAAAGACTATATCCCAAGACCTGGGATTTTTTTTCCTAGGACCAAGGACAAAACCAAAATGGGCTTTCCTCGATAAAGCCTAAAACTAGGTCTCCCAAGGAGCAAGATGATCCATTAGTAATTTAATTGTGCTAAAACAAAACACTGTTTGGCATATGATAATAGAACCCAGAGTGTCCTCAATACATTATCTACACTGTCTAGTATGCAATAAGAAAGTTACAAGATGTGAAAAACAGGAAAATGTCACCCAAATTCAAGAGAAAAAACAGTCAACAGAAACAGACCAAGCTGGGCACGGTGGCCCACACCTATAGTCCCTGCCAGTTGGGAGGCTGAAGCTGGAGGATCCCAAGTTCAAAGGCAGCCTGAGCAACTTAGCAAGAACCCGTCTCAAAATAAAACAAAAAGGCCTGGGGCCTGGCTGAGTGGTACAGCACTTGCCTAGAGTATGTGAGGCCCTGGGTCAATTCCCAGTGCCACACACACGCACACCAAAGAAACAAATCACAGCCACCAACGTGTTGTAATGATTAGCAGACAAGGGTTTAAAATACCTATGACAGATAGGGTAAAGAATTTATTGGAATCAATATAATAATAGCTTACGCAATGGAGAATTTTGGGATAGATGTGTAAATTACAAAAAAAAAATTCAAATGGAAATTCTGGAAATAAAAATTCACTAGATGGGATTAACAGAAGACTGTACACAACAGAAGACATGATCAATTTGAAGACAGGTCAATGGAACAATTCAAACTGAAGCATGAACCGAAAAAGGGTTTTTAAAAAACTGGGCTGCCATAAAGAAGAAGGAATTTATGGCATTTGCTGGTAAATGGATGGAACTGGACACTATCATGCTAAGTGAAATAAGCCAGTCCCCCGGGGCTGGGGATGTGGCTCAAGCGGTAGCGCGCTCGCCTGGCGTGCATGCGGCCCGGGTTCGATCCTCAGCACCACATACAAACAAAGATGTTGTGTCCACCGAGAACTAAAAAAATAAATATTAAAAAAAAAACATAAGCCAGTCCCCCAAAACCAAAGGCTGGATGTTCTCTCTGATATGTGGGTGCTAACACACAATAAGGGGGTGGGGAGAACAGAAGTTCATCATATTAAACAAAGGAGAATGAAGGGGGTGGGGAATGGGGGGGAAAGACAGTGGAATGAACCGGACAGGACTTTCCTGTGTCCACATATGAATACACGACCAGTGTGACTCCACATCCTGTTCAACCACAAGAATGGGGTCCTAATTAGAATGTGATAGTCTGTGTATGTATTTTTTGTCAAAATACATTCCACTGTCATATATGTCTAAGAACAATAAATTAAAAAAAGAAAAGAAACCCTGGGCTGAATGGAGCAGGGTGTGGTGGCACAGGTCTGTAATCTCAGCGACCCCGGAAGCTGAGGCCAGTGGATGGCAAATTCAAGGCCAGCCTGGACAACTCAGTGAGGACTTCTCTCCAAACCAAACAAAGGGCTGGGGAAGTAGCTTAGTGGTGGAGCGCTGGCCTAGCAGGTAAGAGGCCGGGTTCTATCCTCAGTGACACAAAAGAACTTCAAAAACAGTTGAATCCCATAATAGTCTCCACTATGATAGCTGAAGACTTTAACACTGCTTATCAGAAATGGCTCGATCCCAGCTGGCAGAAAATCAGTGAAGACATAGTTAACCTCAGTAGCACCATCAATCAATGGGGTATGATTGAAATTTAGAGACTACTTCATCCAATGACAGCAAAGGACACATTCTTCTCAAGCTTAAGAAGAACATTCACCAGACAGATGACAAAGGGCCGTAAAATACACCTCAACAAATTTTAAAAGAATAGAAATCATATAGTGGATTCTCTCAGACCACAATGGAATTCAGTTAGAAATCCATTACAGAAGGATAACTGGAAACTTCTAAAATACTAGGAGATTAATTAACATACTTTAGCACATAGGTCAAAGAAGGGGTCTCAAGAGAAATGTAAACATGTTTTGAATTAAATGAAAATTATTCATGCATGCTAAGCATGTGCTGTACCACTGAGCTACACCCTCAAACCCCAAATCATTTTATGAGGCCAGGATTACCCTGATATCATCCCCAAAGACATTATAAGAAACTGCAAACTGATATCTTTCATAAACATAGACACAAAAGTCTTCAATAAAATATTAGCAAATCAAGTCCAACAATATATAAAACTAAGTATGCACCATCAGTGAATGAAATTTATCTCATTATGCAAGATTAGATCAGCATTCAAAAATCAATTAATGCTTGTGGCTCAGTGATATAGTGCTCACCTCACATGTGTGAGGCCCTGGGTTTGATTTTCAGCACCACATAAAAATAAATAAATAAAATAAAGATTAAAAAAAAAATCAATTAATGCGTCAGGTGTGTTGGCACATGCCTGTAATTCCAGAGGCTTGCGAGGCTGAGGCAGGATGATCGAAAGTTCAAAGCCAGCCTCAGCAACTTAGTGAGGCCCTGAGCAGCTTAATGAGACCATGTCTCAAAATAAAAGGGCTGGTGATGTAGCTCAGTGGTAACGTGCCCCTGGGATTAATCCTCAGTATGTGTGTATATCCCAGCAAGGTAATCTGTAATATCAATGAACTTATTTTAAAGCTTTTACAGAGAAGCAAAGGACCCAGAATAGCCAACTCAGTATTTTTTTTGGGGGAGGGGTACTGAGTACTGGCCATTTTACCCAGTCCTTTTTATTTTTCATTTTGAGATAGACTCTTCCTAAATTGCTGAGGGTCTTAGTAAGTGTTGAGGCTGGCCTCAAACTTGTGATCCTCCTTCCTCAGCCTCCTGAACAGCTGGGATTATAGGCATGTGCCACCACGACCAGTGTGAACTCAATATTAAGAGAGAAGAATAAAGTTGTAGGATTAATGCTGCCTGACTTCTTATAAAGCTGCACTAATCAAGACAGCATGTTGCTGGTCAAAGAACAGAAAACTAGATCAATGGGGCAGACTAGATGCCCTAAAAGAGATTCACATAAATATAGTGAACCTATATTCAACTAAGGAGCAAGGGTAACAAGGGAGCAAAGACAGACTTTTCCAGAACTAGTGCTAGAACACTTGGCCATCCACATGCAAAACAAACAAATAATTACAATGAACCCGGCAGCTCTCGAGGCTGAGGCAGAAGGATCCCCTGTGACCAGGAGTAGAACCAGCTGAGAAACATGAAACCTTACACCCTCACAAAAATAAACTCAAAATCGGCCACAGACCTAACTATCAATACAGGACTACAAAACTCCTAGAAGATAACATGGAAGAACACCTAGATGATCTTTCATATGCCATAATGTTTAGACATAACACCAAAGGCATGATCCATGAAAAGACATGATTGACAAATGGATTAAACTAACAACTGCTCTACATAAAACATTGTTAAGAGAATGGGAAGACCAGCCAAAAGCTAGGAGAAGAGATTTGCAAAAGACACCCTGAACAAAGAACTTAAAACTCAACAATATGAAAAAAAAATCCAATTAAAAATGTCAAAAGACTTGAACAGACACCCTTACCAAACAAGATATACAGACAACAAATAGGGTATAAGAGGGTGTTCAACATCACACATCATTAGGGAACTGAAATTGAAACAACAATGAGATAAAACAAAAACAACCCCCTAATAATTTGCCAATACACACGTGCTGGAATAGCCACAATACAGAATAGGACCAACACCAAACCCTGGCAAGGGTATGGAGCAACCTCAACTCTCATTCATTGCTGGTGGGAATGCAAAATGGTATAATCACTTTGGAAGGCAATTTGGCAGTATCCTATCTGGGGGATAGGAGTGTGCTTCAATGATAGAGTGCATGCCTAGTTATCTTGGGGCTTGTGGTTTGTCCCATAGCACCACAAAAGTAAAAATACACATAAAATAGTCTGTGTTATCTTAATTTTTTTACAAGCTATTTTAGCTGGGTATAAAATTATATGTTGGCATTTTTTTCCACTTTAACATTTTAAAGATGTTGTTCCATGGTTCTGAATTATATAAAGTTTCTCTTGAGAAACTGGCTGTCATTGTTACCCTATACATAATGTGTCTTTTTATATATATATATATAGTGTGACTTTTAAGATTTTCTCTTTAGCCAGGCATGGCGGTGCATGCCTTTAATCCCAGAGGCTTAGGAGGCTGAGGCAGGAGGATCGTGAGTTCAAAGCCAGCCTCAGCAATTTATCCCCTCTTAAGCTGGGTGCAGTTATTTGTGTCTAAAGCCTTGGCTGTGCATTAGGCTGAGGCAGGAGGATCTCTTAAGCCAGGAGTTTGAGGTCAGCCTAAGCAACACAGCAAGACCTTGTATCTGTTTCTCTCTCTCTCTCTCTCTCTCTCTCTCTCTCTCTCTCTCTCTCTCTCTGATGCAACTGAGGATTGAACCCAGGGGTGCTCTACCACTGAGCTACATCCCAGTCTTTTTAATTTTATTTTTTTAATTTTTAAAAAGATATTATTTTTAGTGATGAACAACATCTCTATTTATTTATTTATTTTTAAATGGTGCTGAGGATCAAACCCATTGCCTCACATGTGCAAGGCAAGCACTCCACCACGGAGCCATAACCCCAGCCCTTTAATTTTATTTTGAGATAGGATCTTGCTAAGTTGCTCAAGCTGATCTCGAAATTGTGGTTCTTTTGCTTCAGCCTCCCAAATTGCTGGGATTATAGGCATGTGTCAGTGCACACAACTAAGATCCATTCTCTGAAAAAAGAAAAAGAGGGAGGGTGTGAGGGAGAAAGAGAGAAAAGAAAGAAAGAAAAACCTAAACACACCTTTAACATATGATCCAGCAATCATGCTCATCAGTATTTACCAAATGAACTGAAAATTTATGACCACATAAAAACTTGCCTCTGGGTTTTTTGTTTGTTTGTTTATTGGTTGGTACCAGGGATTAAACTCAGTGGCACTGAAACACTGAGCCACATCCACAGCCCTATTTTGTATTTAAAAAATTTTTTTTGTAGTTGCCTTTATTCTATTTGTTAATTTTTATGTGGTGCTGAGGATCGAACTCAGTGCCTCATACATGCTAGGCAAGTGCTTTCCCACTGAGCCACAGCCCCAACCCCCTATTTTGTATTTTATTTAGAGACAGGGTCTCACTGAGTTGCTTAGCACCTTGATAAATTGCTGAGGCTGGCTTTGAACACATGATCCTCCTGCCTCAGCCTCCCGAGCCTCTGGGACTATAGGCATGCACCACCATGCCTGGCTAAAGAGAAAATCTTAAAAGACACATTAAATATAAAAGACACATTATGTATAGAGCAATAATGACACCCAATTTCTCAAGAGAAACTTTATATAAGTCAGAACCATGGAACAACATCTTTAAAATGTTAAAGTGGAAAAAAACTGCCAACATATAATTTTATACCCAGCTAAAATATCTTGCAAAAAAATAAGATAACATAGAGACTATTTTATTTGTATTTTAACTTTTGTGGTGCTGTGGGACACACCACAAGCCTCAATCATACTAGGCATGCACTCTATCATTGAAGCACACTCCTATCCCCCAGAGACAGTTTTAGATAAACTGTCATCAGAGGACCAACAATACCAGAAAAGCTAAAGGAAGTGGCTGGGGTCTTGACTCAGTGGTAGAGTGCTTGCCTAGCACGTGTGAGGCACTAGGTTCGATCCTTCTTAGCACCACATAAAAATAAACAAACAAAGGTATGTCCATCTACAACTAAAAAATATTAAAAAAAAAAAGCTAAAGGAATTTCTTTAGGCTGGAGGAAAAAGATGCTAGATAGAAATTTGGATCCACTGTAAGGCACAGAGTACTACAAATGGTAAGTACATCAGTAAATATAAATGTACTATTCATGGGGGAACCAATCCCCTGGTAACTGGGGATTGGGTTCCCTGTGGATCCCCAAATGCACAAATTCTCAAGTGCCTTATAAAATAATACAATATTTGCATAGATCCTACATATATCCTCCTATGTGTACAGATTATTTAAATCATCTCTAGATTACCTCTAATACACAATACAATGAAAATGCTATATAAATAGCCATTATACTGTAATGTTAGGAAATAATGTCAAGAAAAAATGTTCAATACAGATGCAATTTCTCCTGAAATATTTTTACTCCATAATTCTTTGAATCTGGGGACATGAAATCTATAGCCCTATAGGCTGATAGGGTTTTTTTCTCTTTTTTCCTGTACAGGGGATCAGACCTAGGGACTCTCACTACTGAGTTACACCCCCAGGAGTTTGGTTGGTTGGTTGGTACTGGGGATTGAACCCAGGGGTGCTTTACCACTGAGCTACATCCCCAGTCCTTTCTGTTTGTCATTTTGAGACAGGGTCTCACTAAGTTACTGAGGGTCTTGGAAAGTTACCCAGGCTGGCCTTGAACTTTCAATCCTTCCCTGAGTCGCTAGGATCATAGGCATGTACCACTACCAGTAGGCTAGGACTATACCTTGTCTTCTTTAAAAGTTGATGATTCACTTACTTATTTATTCGGGGGTATTTGAGACTGAACCCAGGACCTTGCACATGCTAGACAAGTGCTCTACCACTGAGCTAGATTCCCAGTCTTTCTCATTTTGAGAAAGGATCTCACTAAGTTACCAGACTGGCCTCAAACTTGCAGTCCTCCTGCCTCAGTCTCTTGAGTGGCTGGGATTACAGGTGAGTGCCATCACACCCAGCTCTCAACTGGCTATTTAAAACAATAATACTAATGTTGGGCTCCAGGTGCAACTCAGTGGTAGAGCACTTGCCGAGCATGTGCAAGGTCCAGGGTCTGATCCTCAGCATTGCCAAGAAAAAAAATAACGTATCAGGGTTTATAACAAAAGTAGAAGTACAATATAGAGCATCAATAGCACAAAGGAAAACAGGAGGTGAAAACAGAATTATCTATCTTTAACATGCCTACTTACACATGAAGTGCTACGATATGAATTCAAGTAAATTGTGATATGACAAGGGCACATATAATGACACATATTGTTACTCTTAAAGCAATCGTGAAAATAGTCACATAAACAGTCATTGTTAAAAATTTATTAGTGGGCTGGGTTGTGGCTCAATGGCAGAGCACTTGCCTCCCACGCATGAGGTCTGGGCTTGATCCTCAGCATCACATTAAGTAAGTAAGTAAGTAAATAAATAAAGATATTGAGTCCATCTACAACTGAAAAAAAAGATAAGTTATTAGTGGGCTGGGCTGAAGCTCAGCCACAGAGCACTTGCCTAACGTGTGTGAGGCACTGGGTTAAATCCTCGGTACCACACACACACAAAACCAAAAAACAAATAAAATAAAGGTATGGTGTCCATCTATAACTAATAAAAATATTTTAGTGAAGGTAAAATGAAATCTTTAAATGTACTCAGTCCAGAAGAAAGAAATAATAGAAAGGGGAAGAGAAACAAAGAACAAATGGGATAAATAGGACAAAAACAGAATCATATAATAATTATGCATATTATTAAATAGAAATGAATGAAAAGTCCTACTTTTGAAAAAAGCAAGACTCAAGATACATGCTGTTTATAAGAGAAGCACTTTAAATATAAAGGCATAGCCTGCACTAATGCAGTCAGCGGCGCACACCTGTCATCCCAGTGGCTTGGGAGGCTGAGGCAGGAGGATCTTGAGTTCAAAGTCAGATTCAGCAACTTAGCGAGGCCCTAAGCAATTCGTGAGACCCTGTCTCTAAATAAAAAATAAAAAGACTGGGGATCTGGCTCAGTGGTCAAGTGCTCCTAGGCTAGATCAAAAAAGATGCACCATATAAACACTAAGCATTAGAACGCTGATGTAGCTACTTAATAGTAAGTAAAGTAGAATTCAAGACAAGAAGTATTATCAGAGATAAAGATATTACTTCCATAAAGATAAAAAGGCCAAGGAAACACTGAAATCCAAAACATATAGGTGCCTAATAACAAAGATTCAAAATACAAAGAGCAGAAATTGATTGAATTAAAGGGAGAAAAGGACAAATGTATAATCAGAGTTGGACAGACTAGAAGTACAAAGAGTCAAAAATATGTGCAGGGAAAGAGAACAAGAAAGAGTCCTGAACAGCCAGAGTGAAGTCTGAAGCCTGATTCTACAAGGATGACAGGTCCCAGAGTCGGGGAGCAACCCAGAGAATGGAGCTGCCTGGTCCAGACAGGAAGGTCAGAGGCCGTGGCTGCAAGGGCTGGGCCCAGAGCAGGGGTGCGGCCTACGGGATCCTGGGTGGGTGCTTATAGGGCAGATATTGTCATTTACCTGCTGCCCCTTGAAGCCTTGGGGGCCAGGCTCCCCACGTAGTCCCTGTAGAGGAGGAAGAGAGACTGAAGTTAGCTGTCAGGGGCTCTGACCTAGGGCCCTTGGACCCCCAGAATCCCCACCGGAGGCCATGTGGGTACTCACTCTCTCGCCCTTCTCTCCTGGATTGCCAGGGACTCCTTTGGGTCCAGGGGGGCCTTGAGGTCCCTGAGCAATAAGACAGGGCCTCAGTTTTGTGGGGTGGTAGGAGAGAATGGGCAGGGGCTTGGGAGCAGAGGGGTCAGGGAGGGAACCCCAGCCTAGCCTGGACCTCATCCTACATAGAGTTAATAGAGCCCCGGAGTCGGTCAGTCCCCACCCGACCAGCAGATGTTGCCATATGCTGGCCACAGCCCTAGGACAAGGATCTCCACTTTTCTCAGCCTTAGGTGACAACAATCCTTGCTTTTTATTGCATTAGAAAATTTATGAAAAGTAGCTTGCACATCAAATGCTCGGTAAGTGCTTGTTGAAAGAATGAATTACAGGAAGGACGAACAGATGGATGGATGGGTGGGAACATGAGTGGGGACACTCAGAGAAGGACTCACCATGTGTCCAGGACTCCCGGGAACACCTGTGGGACCAGGAGGTCCAGGGGGACCTAGAATTAGACAGGATGTCCTCAGGAACAGAACAGAGTACAATGCCATCAACTGCCCCCTGGTAGCCACAGCCCCAGTCCCACTGCCACTTACCAATCCCACCTCATATGCCAGGCCTGGACGCAACTTACCCATGGGCCCTGGAAGACCAGGGGGACCTGGGGGTCCAGAGGGTCCCTGGGGCCAGTGGCTGCTAGTCTCAGTGAAGGTGTTGGAATGTAATGGGTCCCCTGAGAGAGGAGAGATGATAAATGAGCAGAGCTGTGTCACCCTGCCACCTCTGCCAAGTCAGCTCTGATGGACCAATGGGGCACCTGCAGCACAGACGTGCCAATGGGCACCTGCTCCCAGGGTGAGAAGTAAGGAGAGTGTGGGCCACGAAGGACCAGAGGCAGGGAGCCCTGGGTCTGACCTATTGCATTCCAGCTGGTAACGTCCAGAAAGACTCTTGGCTTTGCTGAGCCCGGACTGTTACTTGTCAAACGGGACTAATCCTAAAAGATCCTGTTTATTGACAACCTACTATGTCCCTGGCTTCTGTGCATGGGTATCCTAAGAGTTCTGGGAGGCTGCCACAAGGGAAGCTGAGAGGTGTTGAGGGCCACAGACGAGTAGGGATGACACATGGCATTTTTGCCAGAATGGAGTGGTTGAGAGGTGACTCCAGCAAGCCATTGAGATGATAATGGTTATGATAAGCTGTGTATTCAATTGTATATTAGACCCCTGCTGTCCGCCTCAGGCCTGCTACTTTGGAGTTCTCTCAGGGATTCCTGGGGAGTTCGTGTTGGTTGGAGAAGTGCCGGAGGAGGGATTTCCGGTTGGTGTGGTGTGTGCCTGGAGGAGGAGCGTGGGTGGCGTTAGAGAGAGGTTCCGGGGAGCGTGTGTGCAGAGTGCTGGTGAGAGTTCGGGAATAAAGGTTGCTGTCTGAACCTACAAGGCTGTGTGGCGGCTCGGTTATTTTGTGCCCAGCCAGACTGCGGCAGAGAGGTAGAATAGGTAGTGAGTGAGTACCAGATGACTAAGAGGGAGAATGAGTGAATGAACGGGGCCCAGCCACACCTCTGGAACGTGACAGAGATGGGCTTGGGCCTGGCTCTCCATGCTCTGACCCTGGCAGCACAGATGTGGGTCGGGCTGGGCTCCAGAGGAGGCGGCCAGGGACCCACATCGGGCCTAGCCTGGTGGAGAAGCTGGGGCCTCTCCCAGCACAGGGCCAGAACCGTGGCCTTGGGAGTCTCAGAGCTCTCTTCCTGCTGTTGGGCCTTGGACTTCCTGTTGCTCTGGAGGGCTGGATTCTGGCCAGCTCCAAGGCTCGGGAAGGGCCTGCTGCCTGGTGGCCCTGCACCTAGATCTGAAGTCATTCCCCCCATGTCCCAGCTGTGTGTTCATAGCATGTGACCTCCTTTCTCTGGCCCTCAGGGTCCCTCATCTGTGACCAGATGGGGACCATTGGGGACCTAAAGACACCTGGCACAGGCAAGGTGTAAGTAGCGGGCACCACGGCAATAGTCATTCAGCCTCGTCACCCCCACATCAACCTGCCCAGACCCCGGGGGACTCACCATGCTGGGAGATCCTGGCCTGGGATGGCCCAACAGGGGCTGGGGGTCCCGGGGGACCAGGGGGCCCTGGTGGTCCTGGAGGTCCCCTCTCTCCAGGGATTCCCACAGCTCCAGCCCGGCCAGGGCTCCCTGGGGGGCCCTGGGGACCTGCAATGAGATGGCAGGGGTTGGTAGGTGGACAGCAGGCAGGGGGAGTGGTCTCAAGAGCGGCAGGTTGGCAGCCCGGGCAGCTGGCACAGCAGGGCTTGGAGCCCGAGGTCTGCCCTCCCTGGCTCTCTGTTAGGGGCATGGACATAGCACTCTGCATCCCCTGCAGAATGACCTGGGTTTCCTCATCAGGGCTCCCAGGTCCCCAGGTTTCCCTAGGGACCCTGGTCACGGGGTGGGGACTAGTATTTCTCCTCTGTCTGGCCCCTTCTCCCACTGGTCTGGGGGCTCCCGGAGGGCAGGGACTGGGCTAACCTCACCTGGTGCCCAGCTCAGACCCTGGTGAGTGCAAGTACCACAGAACATCAGCAGAGTAGCCAAGACTGGGCTTCAGAGGGCCAGGCATGAGCCGCACTGTCCCTGGAGGGCTGGCGGGTGGACAGCCAACCCATAGAAGGGACCAAGCCACCCTGGCTGAGTCAGAGCCAGGCAAGAAGGCCCAGCCTGGGTCCACCCAGCCCGAGGGATGGTCAAGAACGCAGGGGACTTTGGTGGCATGGTGGGTGCTTACCTGGTGGGCCTCTCATCCCTGTGGGGCCCTGGCTGCCAGCATCTCCTTTGGGACCGGTAGGCCCAGGCAGCCCCCGAGGACCCCCTAGGTCTGGGGAGTAAAGAACATTAGGTTGGCAGCTCTACTTGCTCTTGGCCCTCACTGTGGCCCTGAGCCCCCGGCAGCACCTACCACCTTGAGGGAGCGGCAGGGCCCTCCTGCTCTCTCTGGTTCCAGGTAGCCCTGGTGTGAGAGGGGAAGGCAGGGGTCAGTGGCCCTGCTGGGTGGGGGGGAAGGACAGTCATCCAGAGTCCCAGTCACCATCTCCATCCAGGCAGGATCTGTTGGGGGGCTGTCAGCTTCCTAGGACTCCAGAGCTTAGGAGCCCCTGAGACCACCCCCAGGGTCTAGTGGGCTAAGGTCCACCACAGGTCACGTAGGGCACAGCAAGGGTGCGACCAGAACCTCACCCTCTGATTCCCACACAGGCGTGCATTCCCTGCCTGATCCACTCACCCTGCAGGCCTCCATCTCCAGGGCTGCCCTGGGCAGCTGGGGAGCCCCAGAGTGGAGAAGGGTCCTCAGGGGTAGCTGGTGTTGAGGGCTCCGCCCGCCCTGGTACAGTCAGCCCAGCCACCTGTGGAGAGGGAAGATAGGATGGGGGGGACTTCAGGGACTCTCCAGGCACAGACTAGCGGAGGGGCCCTGTGGGGTGCGGAGACCCCGGCTCCTAGGGGCCCAGAGCTTCATGACAAGCGTCTGTGTTTAAAGTGTACGATTCACAACATGCACGGCAGAAAAGTCATCACACATCGTCACTGCCACCCAAGTGGGGCTCTGTGCTTGTGGTGCTTGCTGACCAAGCAGTTTTTTCTTTGCTAATCTCCATAAATAATATGACGCTTGTCACATCTGCTGAAACTGCACAGGGGTTTGAAGAGTTTTGCTTTTTTTTTTTTTTTTTGGTACTGGAGACTGAGCCCAGGGCTTTGGGTGTGCTAAGCACTGTCTCTACCATCAGGAGTTTTGCTAAATCTGCAGAGAAGTTTGGAAGGGTCTGACATAAAATAACAAATCCACTTTGGGGACCAGGGTGAAGACAACTCTGGAACATCACTGGTACCCTGAGCCACTGACTGGGGGACTATGTGGGGCTGTCCTCATAGCAGCTACTGTAATTATGCAGCTACTCCTTCTGGCCCCTGTTTTTCTAATTTCCCAACTGTAGGGAAACATGTTCACATCTGATCATCTCCACAAGATGAAGTTCCAGAGGAGGGAACAGTAGAGCAAAGAATATACAAGGTATACACACGTCTACTATGTATGTCCAGAAAATGTGGAAGGAGCCGGCACCGTGGCACAGCCTGTAACTCCAGCCACTCGGGAGGCTGAGTCAGGAGGATCACAAGTCCAAGGCTAGCCTCAGCAACTTAGCAAGATCCTGACTCAAAAGAAAAAATAAAAAGGGCTGGGGACATGGCTCAGTGGTGAATCGTCCCTGGGTTAAATTCTCCATCACCCCTCCCCCCCCAAAAAAAAACTGGAAAGAAAAATGATTAAAAAGTGTCAATATATACTGTAGTCCTGACGATTCAGGGAGCTGGGCATAAGAACGAGGCTGAGTCATTAAAAAAAAAAAAGGCCCACATTTCTGAGTCTTTCTTTAGAATCTTTGTTTCCTATTCTAAGATTTTAAAAGACTTTTAATCTCAAAATAATGAGATATGTAGTAGGTGTTTTGCTTTTGAAGTTGGAGGATGGGATCGTGGGGGTGGTAAAGGAGGTGGTGGGCAAGGAGGGGATCCTGCAGCCCACCCAGTGTCTGCACTTATCTGGTGGGCACTGGACAGCCTGGGGGGAGCCTCACGACTTCCTCGAGGAAGAGAGGGCTTCCTGGGGACAGCACCCAGCACAGGCGAGGAGCCGGGGGGAACCAATGGCCGGCTGTGGCAGGGACCGGAGACTGCTGCCTGGTCTGTGGGGAGCCCTGTGGAAGGTCAGAGCTGCAGGCTGGACATGGGGGTACAGGAAGGGCCAGGGGCCCTCGGGCTGGGGGTCAGCAGGGAGCTGCTCACCCACCTTGGCCTCCAGCACCTTCAGCCTCGCGGTCAGCTCGGACACTCTGCTGCAGTTGAGACAACCTGTGAGGGGGAGGAGGCTGGGACTGGGTCCTGGGGTCCCAGGTTCTCCCGCTTTAAGAACCCTGAGCCCCCGGGACAAAGGAGGGAGGAGACAGACCCCAACCCAGGAGGAATTCCGGTGGGGGGAAGGGGTTACAGAATCTCCCCAGGCCCAGGACAGGATGGACCACCCCCAAGGGATTCCTTCAACTCTGGAGCCTCCAAAGTGGACCTGTTTCTCCCAGGGCAGGGTCGGACGCCTGGTCCTGGCAGCCTCCCGTGTCCAAAATGACCCTTTTCCCAGAAGCCAGGGCGGGAAATGTGTTGTTTCTTGCTGGGTGGGGCTGGGACATGGACCTGCCAGCTTTGGGGACCGAGCATCACAGTCTAGACAGGGCTGGCCCCAGAGGCACCACCCTCTGACCCTCTCACAGAACCAGTCCAGTTCCTCCAGACCCCTTAGCAAGACACCTAAGTTACTCCCAACAGCTGTGGCCACATCCTGAGGTTTGCAAGTTCCGCTCCTTCAGAGGAGCCCAGCGAGGTGCAGCCAGCGCCCAACAAGCACAGCACAGCGGTCCCGCCCAGTGCTGCCCCCTGGTGGCTGCAGGACGTGGGGCAGGACAGGGCTGGTCTCTCTGGTCTGTTTCCCGCTCTTTAAAATGGGACGACAAGCTCTTGGGAGTGGGTGTGCACAGCTGTGGGGTTTAAACGAGGTGGTGACAGAAAGCACTGGCTCAGGGACTTGCTCATTGAAGATGGTCAGAAAAGAAGAGGAGACTGGGGGCCTGGACCTGCATCCACAGGAGCCCAGGGGTCACGGTCTCAGGGTGCCTGGGCTCCCTCCTCTTCCCCTTGAGGCTCTTTCTAGCCTGCCGTTGACCCTCTACTACGGGACAGCCGGCTTTTAGGGCAATTGCCACACTGCCCTGGCTTCCCTCTCGGCCTCACCCCCGTGGCCGCCCCAGAACCCACCTGCGAAGGCTGCGGGCTGAAGCGCCATCCGCCGCACGGTGCTGCCCGCCCACGTGGGCTCCCTGAAGCCAGAGGTGCCTGCAACTGAGGAATGGGGGGGGGGACCCCGTTGGTCTGTGCCATCCTTGCCTTGGCACATGCCCCTGCCCACCACCGTATCCCAGCAGAGATTCCCACTCCCTGAAGGATAGAGAGGCCCAGGGAGGTGGAGCTATTCCCCGGGTGACACAGCCCAGCTGGAACTGACCGACCACTTGATGGGCTGGTGAGAGGAGCTGGCAGTGGGGTGAGGATGAGGCTGGGCTTCCCCAGCAACCTCAGGGGGCTACAAGGGTTAAGAGTTTAGAAGTTACGGAGACAGGCGCAGTGACACACGGTAGTCCCAGCAGCTGGGGAGGCTGAGGCAGGAGGATGGAGAGTTCAAGGCCAGCCTCAGCAACTTACCAAGGCCCTGGCTCAAAATAGAAAATAAAGGGGGCTGGGGATGTGGCTCAGTGGTTGCAGGCCCCTGGGTTCAATCCTTGGTACCAAAAAAAAAAAAAGGGGGGGGGGTGGATAGGGAGTTGGAGTTATCAAAGCTTGGGTTCCTGCCCCACCGCTTACTGACCTGTGTGACATCCTCTCTGGACCTGCCTTTCCCATCTGTAAAATGGGACCCTAAGCCCTCTGTCCCTCCCAGTGTGGTGTGAGGCCTTGACGCTCAGTAAACTGGGCTGTGACCGTCGCTCTCTCGCCCTGGCCCTCATAGTAAGAAGGCTGAAGGAGATCCAACTCTGGCTTCAAATGAAACCCAGAGGGCGGCTGGCTCTGCTTCCAGGAGCCCACCCCTGCGGCACTGGCTGGCCTGGCTTTGGGGGCTTGGTTTTCAGCATAGCTGGAGGGATGGGCTGGCCAAGCCAGGGGTGAAGGGCACAGCTGGAGGGCTCTCTATGGAGCAGTGGCGCGAGCCCCCCCTGCCCGGGGGCCTGCCTTTTAAGGCTATGCAGTGTTGTTGGGGGGTGTGCAGGGGGGACAGGACCCAAATAAGGCGCCGGCCTGGCAGCTGAGACCTGGGCTGTGGGTTGAGGCAGGAGCAAGAGGCGCCGGGAACTGGAACCAGACGGGTCCCTCTGGCCAGCCCCCAGCGGGGAGGCTGCCAGCCTTGCTCTGGGTCCCACCATGAGGCCCTCACTCAGGCTGAGCCGCTTCCCTCAGCACACTGTCCCCAAGGGTCTAGAGCTTGCCTGGGTGCAGGGGCAAATCTCCCCAGTCCTACCAGCCCAGGACAGGGACAGGGACTGGGGGCCCTCTGGGCAGGGGAGTGCCCTGGTGCTAGGTGCTTCATACCCCAGCCCGATCTTGGTTAGCACGTACTCCCAATCAGCTCTGGTACTTCTAAGCACTTCCAGTATATATATCTGGCTATTTTTTTTTTTTTTTTTTGCAAACGTGCTGGGGCCATATAGTCTTCACAGATGGAGAGGCTGCACATGCAACAGATGAATGGGTGACTGAGGCTCTTCTTTTTCGATTGAAGGGGCACTCAACCACTGAGGTACATCCCCAGCCTTTTTTTTGGTATTTTATTTAGAGACAGGGTCTCACTGAGTTACTTAGGGCCTCGATAAGTTGCTGAGGCTGGTTTTGAACTCACGATCCTCCTGCCTCAGCCTCCCGAGCCAGTGGTATTACAGGCATGTGCCACTCTGCCCAGCATCAAATAGAGATTTTTTCAATTAATCCTCCTGCCTCAGCCTCCGCAGCCGCTGGGATGACAGGCGTGCGCCACCGCACCTGGCTAGAGACTCCTCCTCTCTTTTCCCTTAGAAGGAAACCAAGGCTGGGAAACGAAGTGACTCTCTCATTCCCCTGCAGTTCTCCAGCCTGGATCCGAACCCAGGTAGGTCTGACTCCAGGGCCTGACTTCTTTTTTCAGGGAGACCCCTAGGCAGTGTCCAGCAAGAGTTCTGATGCCTGAGAGAAACAGTCTTGCCAAGCCTGCTTCACCCCTTCTGCTCCCAGGTAAAGATGCAAAATACGGGGCTGGGGTTGTGGCTCAGCAGTAGAACCGCACCTAGCACGTGCGAGGCCCTGGGTTCGATCCTCGGCACCACATAAAAATAAATAAATAAAATAAAGGTATTGTGTCCTACTACAACTAAAAGATAAATATTTTAAAAAGATGCAAAATACCATCTTATTACTCTTTGCAGAAACTTGACCCAAAGCAGCTGCCGTCCGCCTGGCCCTGAGCAAGCATGAGTGTTCTCTATAATGAAGCCTTGGCTCTTCTGGCCCTCTCCACTTCCCTGCTAGTGTCCCCCACCCCCCACCCCCCACAGCGCTTTCCACATGTCATTGACTGGACCAGTTTCCCAGCTGATCGCCAATCGTCTGCCCCTCTGGCCAGAACACCATCCCCACCAAGGCAGGGACCTGGTCTGTCCTGGGTCCAGTGCCTGGCACTCAGCAGGACCTCAAGGGCCTCAGGAGACTTCTGTTGATTAGTGTACGGAGCAAGGGCTGAAAAACAATTTCAAGGGAGCCAACGAAAAGGAGGCACACGATGTGGACAGAGACACAGCTGCCTGGACAGGAGTATAAATGTCCTCAGGTCACGGGACGGTGTCCCACCCTCCTGTTATTTGTCGGCAGACTTATGGCTGGAAATACTTTTTCAACCAATTTTGTTTTGGGACATTTCTCCAAGAGTCAGAGAGAACTAGAAAAACGAACAGAAAGACAGCAGTACCAGCAGGGCCCACAGACGGGGCTCCAACTAACTGTGACTTTCAACTGGAAAAGAAGGTGTGGGGCTGGGGACACAGCTCAGCGCCAGGAAGTTCATCCAGCACGCCCCGAGGTCCTAGGGCGGTAAAGAAGAGCAAACCAAACCCGGGAAATGTTCATTCTGGATTCAGGATTTCTAAAAATTAACCCCAAAGACCCCCCAGTTCTGATAAACACACAGAAGCACTTTAGAAGATGTATCAGGTTGTCAAAGGGGCTTCGGCACAGAAATTCCAGGAAGGAAGCAACTGTGGGTTGGGGCATGGCCTTCTGAGGACAAGAGGGCCACACCCCTCCTGGGTGTTTGGCCAGGGACCCTGAGGCAGGCCTAGGTGGGCAGACAGCCCCTCATCCAGGCCTGGGGTCCTTCTCAGTCCTTCCTGGTCATCCCAGGAGGACCCTGAAGGTTGGTCCCAGAGCCACAGACCTGAGCTCCACTCCAGAGCGCGTCCCACCCCTCGGGAGGTCCCATCTGCCACCCCCTACGCTCCCGTGTACACTGTGCCCTTCCCCAGTTCTTACACTGGTGGTCCCGTGTCACTCCTCCAGGAAGCCCTCCTGGTCGCTCCAGGGCACTCACCAGTACCAAAGCACCCACTGAAGTGCCGGCACTCCCTGCCTTGACCTCCACAAGGCCTGTGCCCTCTGCAGCTTCTAATCTGGTCCCCAGACAACCCCTCGTCCTTCCACCCAGTGCCAAGGCTATGTCCCTTCTCATGGGATCCTCATGACACCCTGTGATACAGGTGAGAATGGTGAGGCCCCGGGGGAGGCTGCTGGCCCTCCACGCAGCAGGACGAGGATGGCTGGGATTCCAAGCCGGCCCCAAATTGGAAATGGGCGTGTGAGAACCTTGGGGGTCCCTAGACTTTGCCCCTGTGACTTTCTCCCCAGGAGAGGATTCAGGGGAGGGGCTCCCTCATTCTCCTCTGACCCCCACCCCCAGGTCTGCACAGTTCAGTGGCCACAGGTCACAGGGATGCAGCCCCCCCAGGTCTGTGGGAATTCACTTTGCAAATGTAAATATTTGCTCCCTGCCAGCTGGTGGCCGAAAAGAGGAGTCAGGGTCAGAGCCGGAGCAGGAGGTCCAGGAACCCTCCGGCCAGACCAGGGGGCCTCTGGGAAGGCCTGGCTCCCTCTTTGGGGTGGGTGAAGTTTCCATTCAGTATGCGGGTGCTCACTTTGCTATGTTCTGGTACCGGAGATGAAGGGCCCTTAACCACCGAGCCCCAGCCCCAGCCTTGACTGTATTTTATTTACAGACGGGGCCTTGATAAGCTGCTGAGGCTGGCCTTGAACTTTTGGTCCTCCTGCCTCAGCCTCCTGAGCTGCCGGGGTGATAGGTGTATGCCACGGCACGTGTCTGTGGATACTCATTTTACGCCACGTCCACAGCTGACTGGGGGTTAGACCAGCGTGGGCAGAGGGTCAGACGGAGGTGGGGTGGAGCTGAGTTGTGATAGGGAAGCGGAGAGCAGTCGCCCCGACTGATTGATGGGCAGGATGGGCCGTTGGGGAGGCGGGGAGGCCGAGTCTTCCAGAAGGAATGGGGGTGCATGAAGTGGTTAGCCCTCAGGTTCTGAGTCTGCAGAGAAAACACAGCCTGGCTCTGCCCCTGCCCCTGGCTGGGAGGTCCCCAGCCCCAGAGGCCAGAGGGCCCCCAGAAGGAGGATGGGACCTCCCTCACTTTTGCTCTGAGGCTTGAGACCGTGTGATCTTAGGCAAATGTCCCTTCTCTGGTTCCCCATGGTGGAGGCCGTGAGGGACACGGGGCATGTAGGCTGCGGACCACGGGACGGGGAAGCAGAGCAGCTCAGCTCCAGGGTCCCATCGGAGGGGAGGGTGCGTCCCCAGCCTCTCCATCCTTCTATCTGGGAGATGCTGGGCGGAGACTGGCTTCTGTCAGTGTCACAGCACCCCAGGTTGTCTGAACAGACCCCCGGGTGTCCTCAGGGAAACAGCCCAGCTGGAGCCCTGCTGGCTGGCCTTGAACCCAGCTCCTGGGCTCACAGCTGCTGCCCTGGGCACAGCCTTCCCTTCTCAGAGCCTCACTTTTACACCTGGGCCTTCTGTGCCATGACAGGATGGCACAATGGAGGTGAGTAAGCACTCAAGTGCCTGTCACCGGCCCTTGTCATTAGTAATTGTAGGAGCCCGTCAGAGTCCTGGGGAGAAATCTGGCCACAATGCTCACTTGCTGTGTGACCTTATGTGAGGCCAGTACCCTCTCTGAGTCTCATTTTAATCATCTGGAAGATGGGGCCGCTAGGCAAGAGAGTGCCCAGAGGCAGGGTGACATGGGAGAGGTTGCAGCAGCCCCACCCTCAGCAGAGTCCTGGGCCCAGGTCCAGGGAAGGTGACAGTTGGGCTCTGCCTTCAAGAAAGGCATGTGTCTGCCCCGCCCCGCTTTACGGTACACTCTGGCCTTGGCCCTTTCTCTTCCATGGTTTCCATGAATAGGCCAGGTCCCTCCCAGTCCCATGCCCCCTCCTGAGGCCTGGAGGAATGAATGGTCAGCGTCTCCATCCTGCCTCTTGTGTTCTGGGTGACCCCAGGTCAGTTCCTTCACTTCTTTGAGTCTCAGGTTCCCTACCTGTAATAGGGGGCCTGCCCCATCCTCACGGGACATCATGACCCTCAAAGGAGACACCATCACTCACTGTCAGAGTGCCCCTCCCGTCCTTCAGATGAGAGGGGGCTAAGTGCGGGGGAAGTGCTTCCTGGAACACCCCCCCCCCCCCCCCCCCCCCCCGCCTCACAGTCTGGAGACATGAGGTATGTCTGCTGAGCCTCCATGGGAGGCAGGGCCATCTGCCAGGTCACCACAGAATCCCCAGCACTGGGGTCAGAAGGAGAAAGGAGGACATTTATGGGTCACCTACTGGATGCCAGGCATGACTGCCCATTTCTCAATTCCAGGTGACTTACAGATGAAGCCAAGGTTCAGAGAGGTAAGTGAGATGCCTCAGGTCACACAGCACCATGCAACACAATGCAGATACAGGGCTGGCTTCTGGAATGACACGTGTGTTTCCCCTCCTTTGTGGCCCATCCCAGGTGTCCCTGGACCCTGTAGCCCCTGGTGACGCAGATCTGTGGTTCCAGGGTCAGGTCACAGCAATAAGTAGGCCACAAGGGCAGCCACCAGCAGGAAAGGAGCTGGGAGAGTCTAGCTCGGATCCAGGTGCAGCAGAGCCTGGGATGGGCCAGCAATGTCCCCATGCTTCCCCACCACCCCAGGGCTTCATGAGACTAGTTTTCTAGAATATTCAGGCCTAGGCACCCCCTGGCCAGCTTCCCTTTCCTTAGCTCCAACCTGTGGGTGAGGAGAGGCCCCGCCCATCCTGTCAATCATCGTGCACCTCCTGGGGGCGGGGCATCTTCACTGCCTCATTCCATCCCAGCAACTCCCTGGGAAGCAGACACCGTCATCCAACCCCACTTCACAGGTGAGGGTGCCGAGTCTTGGGTGGGGGACCCCAGGCTGCTGCTAGTGCACACTGCGGCCTGGGGACCTTCCAGGAAGGCACCCCGCCCTCTGAGTGGGCATGGAGGAATGTCCCGATGCTCTTGCACAACTGCACCAGGATGAGTGGGGAGTCCCCCGCCCAAGGCCACTCAGCTGGCGTGTGGCAGAGCTGGCCTGGCCCGCAAAACCCTGGATGATCCTGTCCCTTGGCTTGGGCCTGAGGCCCCGCAGAAGCAATGGTAGACATCAGGGGTGGCCTGGCCCCAGGGCAGCCCTGGCCCCGGGACACATGGTATCCAGCAGCTGGAGTCAAGGGCACTGACTTTGCCCCCACCTGCCCTCTGCCTTCCAGGAAGGCCCCGGAGACTAGGAAGGTTTGCCCTTGGGAAAGGAGCCAGGGACAAAGTGGCCTTTGTCTGGCTCTTTGTCTGGATTCTGCCCCGGTGCAGGCCCTCCAGCGGGGCCTCCTCTCCACACCTGGGGAGTTCACCCATAGCTCCCCTGTGGCCTTCTGAGCAGCTGCCAACCCTGGCTGGTCCTTTGTCCCTTGGGCCCTCTGCCTTCCCCTCTTTCTCCCACTGGGATGGGCCACAAAGGAGGGGAAACACACGTGTCATTCCAGAAGCCTGCCCCTGGCCTCCCACACTAGCACACGACTGGGGCTCCCTCTTCCTCTGGCCACCCTGTTCTTCCCCAACTCCCTAGGGACTCCCGTCACCCCAAAACCACCAAACCGCCTCCCTTCTCCACTCCTTCTCCCTGTCCTCTAGTACCGAGGACTGAACCCAGGGACACTCGAGCACTGAGCTACACTCCAGCCCTTTTTATTTTGTGACAGGGCCTCCCTAAATTGCTGAGGCTGGCCTTGAACTTTCGATCCTCCTGCTGCAGCCTCCTGAGCTGCTGGGATTACAGGCCTGCATCACCACACCAGGCCCTGGCCCGCTTCTTGGAGAGTTCTGTCCCCACCTCATTCCTGTGCAACTCTGGGCTCTCAACTCCGCCTCTCTGGGCCTCAGTCACCCCATTTGTAAACTGGGCTACCCTCGTAGCAGCACAGATGAGCAACAGCACATGGGCCCCATGCTCCCTCGACTCAGGGACCATACTCCACATATCTCTGCTTCTTGAATCGGGACACATCCTGCGACTGACGGCCACATTCCTGTGCTGCTGGGGCCCTGGATGACCTTCCCTCGAGGTGCCTATGGGCCGGGTCCTTGGGTTGGCCCAAGGCCAGTCCATCTCTTTTCGGGCTGTGCTTGGGAGCTCGGCTCTTGGTGCCCCCACATCTGCTGCTTGTGGGTCAGCCAGGCAGCAAAAGCTCCCCAGGGGGCAGTGTGTGTGGTCATTTTCCAGGACAGAGCTGGCCCCAAGCTACCAACCTGCACTCAGACAGGGTGGGGGGGAGGGGCTCCTCTGCACAGGACACACTCGCACCCAGAGGCCATCCCGAGTCTCTGAGGGAGTGCGGCAGGTGGGCAGGGTCTGAATCCCAACCCTGACACATGGGGACTGAGTGTCGAGCACCTTCCCCAGCCGTCTCTTCTCTGCAGGGCGGGGTCAGCATCCCTCCCTCTCTGACCCACTGACTAGAGTGACCCTCTGCTTCCAGGTGAAGCTCGTTCCCATGTCCTGGGAAATATCTGGATGGGCTTCCCCCAGTGCTAGCATCTGGATCTGGCGTGTCCTCTAAAGTCCCAGGTGTTAAAGGCAAGTGGAGGACCTTGGAGAGGTGGAGCCTGGTGTGAGGTCTTTAGGTTGCTCGTGTGTGCCCTTGAAAGGGACAGAGTGACCCTGACCCCTCCTTACTTTTATTTTTTTGTTTTCTGGCCATGAGGCATGCACCTGTCATGGTGGGCTACCTCACCAGAGGCCCAAAGCCACACAGGCCAACTGATCATGGACTGAATGTGAGGCAATAAAAACCTTTTTACTGTGTAAGTGGGTCATCTCAGATGCTTTCTTATAGTGCGGGAAAGCTGACTCATACACCAAGTTTGAGAGGAACACTTGGGATGATGTGACTTAAAATGTGAGTGACACAACATGTCATGAAATTTTTCCAGGGACCTTGAGCATCTTCCAAGAGGCAAGCAGTCACTGTGAGGGGTTCAGCAGGCCCAAATATGTCTGGGCAGTACCCCATCCAGAGCTCTGTGCAACAGGCTCTTCTGGGCATGGTGTCGTACGTGGGCGCTGTCTGACTTAGCAACTGTTTAATGCTCCCATGCACCCGGGGGACCTGCTTGGCCGCAGTCACAGGGCCTCAAGCAGCAGGCAGGCAGTCCTACCTTCCTCGCAGCTCACTCCCGAATGCCCAGGGCAGCATCTCCACTCGCGGGCAGTCACTGTCTTGTACATCACCTTGTATGTGGGCCTCACGACCGTTCTGTAGCTGAAAGAGTGTCCAGGTGGCCTGGTTCACAGGGGTCCCCCCACTGCCATTCCCACTGCCCTGAGACCCACAGGGACAAAGCCAGATCCTCCAGACCCTCTGCCACCTCCAAGCCCCTTTGGAGTCTCTCCCCTGCGCCCAGGATTGAGCCCTTCCACTAAGCCCCACAGATAAGGGAGTCTGGGCAACAGGATGGAGGCCCCTGCAGGCGGGAAGGCAGGTGCATGGCGATCCTCCCCGAGGAAGCCCTCCAGGGTTTCCTCCTGGTGCTAGGCCACCTTTGCTCCCCCACCAGGCGTTGGCCCTCTGGGAGAGCCATCCACTCTTCCACGTGGCCTCTCTTACCTGCTCCCCGGGCAGCTCATGGGCCACGGGCAGTTCTGCAGCACTCGCTGAAGGTAGGTGCCATTTTGCACATGGCATGAGATGGTTCTTGTCACCACGTATGAGCACCAGTTCCTGAAAAAGACCCACAGGGAGGAAGCTCAAGTGCAGGGAGCACCCTGCCCAGGACTCCAGGAGGATGGACAGAGAGATCTGTGTCCTCTCCAGGGGCCCTGACTCCAGGCAGAGAGAACCCCAAGCTCAGTCCCCTGGGACCCTGCAACTGGGACAGGCTCAGGGTGGATCCCCAGGGGTGGCTCTGCTGGGGGTGCTCAGGAGCCTGGGGGAGCCAGGGGACAGCACATCCTCAGCTCTCCCTCCTCAGTCTCTCCCCCCAACCTCGGCCACCCTCTGCCACCGACACTTCCTGTCTCCCACTCGGGGCGGAAGCTTTTGAGACATACTTTGAAACCTGTGAGACCCTCACCTACTCACTAGGAGGAACATTTTCTGCCTGGGGTGAAGAGGGCGCGCTCCAGGGTCAGATGGACCTGAGTTCCAGCCGGGGACTGGGCCACCCAGAATGCTCTGGACGCCCCAGACCCCAGGGCCTCTGTCTTTCCATCTGTGAATGGCACTCAGAGGACAAGAATCTAAAATAACAAGGGGACAGCCTGGGGTGCGGCTCCTGGCACCCACTGACCACAGTCAACGGAGGCTGCTCTCAGTGTAGGAGGTGGATGGACAGACAGCTCTCCTTGCCCCCAGAGGAAGCAACTTGATAGGAGAGTGTAATTTTTCCCCTAACTTTATGCATATATATATTTATACATGTGCCTATAAATACAAATAACTGTGTGGCTCTTTCTCTTTTTCTCCTTCATTTATTTATTTTGGTACTGGGGACTGAATGCAGTGGGCTTTACCACTGAGCTACATCCCCCGGCCCTTTTTATTTTTTGAGACAAGGTCTTGCTAAGTTGTTGGACTCTAATTTGCGATCCTCCTGCCTCAGCCTCCTGAGTCACTAGGATGACAGGCATGTGCCACTGTGCCTGGCTTCCCTCTTACTTTAACGGAAGTTCAGTTGCTGAACGACTAATTCTTTTTTTTAAGAGAGAGAGAGAGAAATTTTTAATATTTATTTTTTAGTTTTCGGTGGACACAACATGTTTATTTTATTTTTATGTGATGTTGAGGATTGAACCCAGCGCCCCGCACATGCCAGGCGAGCGTGTTACCGCTTGAGCCACATCCCCAGCCCATGACTAAATTTTTTGGCCTACGCTTGTTCCTGCTTCCCCCTGACAAGATGCTGGTTCTCAGGTCAGCACGCAGTGGCCTGGGGCTCTGTCACAGGGTATGGTTTTGTGTGTCTGGTGGTCTGGTAGCTATTTATAGCCTGTTTCCAGTTTTATGCCATTCCCAATGATGCGACACTAAGCACCTGTCACCTGGGCCATGGGACACCTGGCCGAAGGCCCTGTCAAGCTCCTGCCATTGCATGAGACAAACTGAACTGTCCCTTCTGCCAACTTTCCTGCCCCCAGGACTCTTCTTTCTTCTGAACTGATTCTAGTGTGGCCTGGAGGGGACCTCCCCAGGGTCCCCCAAACTAACTTGACTAAGTCCTGGTCCTGGCTAAGGGCTTTTTCTTTCATGGACTGCGGGGCTGACGGGGGGGAGGGCTGGATGGCAGTGGTGTGGATGCCTCTGTGGTGGCCGGGACATTCCAGGTGCTCAGTAGCCCTCAGCCCTGCACGGGGTCACAGGTCCTGTGTTTTTCTGCAGGGGCTGAGAAGGAGGGAGGGTTTCAGGTGACCTTTCCCAGCGCGGGTCCCCCACTCCACCAGACTGCCCTTCGTGGCCTTGAATCCAGGGTCAGCAGGTTCCCAGGCTGAGGACTCCACAGCGCCATGGATCGTGGCGCTCAGAGATGGGGGGGGACAGGGGAGCTGAGGCCTGGGACGGAGACGAAGCCCGGGCCGTCCGCATTGCTGGGTTCAGAACTGGCTCCTCTGGCACCAGCTGGGATGGGGGCTGTTGTTTCCCCTCTAAGATGGGGGGTGCCTTTCTGGCTCATCCCTGGAGGGCGGTGTAAGTACTCTCAGCATACAGTAAGTGCTTACTATGTGCAGTGCAATGTGCTTTTAGCACTTTAGCATGCTGAGAAGTCAGTCCTCCAGGCTTGGAACACTGATTGTTCCTCCTGGCTGTCACACAGAGGGGACCTGAGGAGAACTGAAGCAGGGGACCGTCCTCTCACACCAGAAGAGGGGGACAGGCATGGATCGCCAGCTGAATTCAGCCCGACGGGGGTCCAAAAGGCTGTGGCATCCAGGGTGGGTGACATCAGGGCTGCTCGGGTGAGAGTGGAAAAAGACGGAGCTGACCCCACAGCTGGGCTTTGAAGGGAGGAGATGGCAGATGGAGAATCCGATGTCCCCCCAACAAAGGCCTGATGGGAGGAGCCACGACAGGGTGGGCAGCAAGTCCCAAGAGCTGGAGAGTCGGGGAGCCACCGAGGTGCACGGCCAGGTTCCCATTCTGTGGTACTCCCCAGCCAGGCACGGGGACACACACCTGTAGTCCCAGCTCCTTCTCCGGAGGCTGAGGCAGAAGGGCCGCAGGAGCCCAGGTGTTGGGGACCATCCTAGGCAACACAGTGAGACCTGACCTCACGAGCTGGGTCCCCGCGGCTGTGGTTTTGAGCCTATGGGGTTCTGTTTGGAGGGTGGGGACATAAGAAAGTCTGGGAAATTGGTGAGAATTGCGGATCCTCCTCCCCAAGAGCAAAATACCTGGTGTACATGTTCAGAGGGAACGGAAGATCCCTGGGGCCTGTGTGACCACCCCAGGCTGGCCCAGGGCTGCAGGGGTGAAGGGGACAGGGAGGGAGGGAGCAACCTGGGCAGAGAAACTGGGAGCTCCAGATACAGGAGGGGGCTTCTGGGCATAGAGTGAAACTCCATGCCAGGTGCGCGTGCCACACACCCCCACAGGACCGTGTGCCTTCACCGGAGTACACACCCACGAGCCCACCCCTCACTCACACACAGACTGGAAAAGGCACCTCCAAACACTGATGACCTCTGTGGCCCACGTCCACAGGTACACGCAGAGCCGTGAGCCCACCCACGCATGCGCACATCCCCCAGTTCCCAGTCCCTGGACCAGGCGAGGGAGGGTGGGGCTGTGACTGCCCACAACTGCCCAGGCTGCCCTTTTATCCAAGGGGACCTAGACAGAACAATTCTTTTCTTCTTCCTTAACGAAAAGCTCCCATATGAAGGTCCTGGCCTGCTTCCCTGGTTTCTTTCCCACAAGCTGGACTTTGCTTGAATCCCCTGCTTAGGTGACAGGAAGGTGGTGGCTGGCTGGGGGACCTTTTATAACAGGAGGGAACACTGAAGCCAGGTGGGGTTCAAGGTCAGCCAGTCGCCCCCTCCAACTGGGAGCCACCAATTACCACTCCCATCCCCAGCGGCCCCAGCACTAGCCCAAGCTCTCCATGGGGTCCTGCCGTAGGGTCCACTTTCCACGGCCGCAGGAAGCTTTTTGTAAAACATACACCTAATGCTCCTGCTGATCGCCATGGCATCTGAAGGTCCACTGTGGCTCCCCATTGCCTTCTAAGCCCCCCTGTCCACCCTTCATCTTTCACACTCCTGTCGCCCCTCTAATCTTTTTTTTTTTTTTGTACCAGGGATTGAACTCGGGGGCACCCAACCACGGAGCCCCATCCCCAGCCCTATTCGGTATTTTATTTAGAGACAGGGTCTCACTGAGTTGCTTAGAGCCTCGCTGTTGCTGAGGCTGGCCTTGAACTCACGATCCTCCTGCCTCAGCCTCCCAAGCCGCTGGGATGACAGGTGTGTGCCACCACACCCGGCTGGTACCTCTGGTCTTTGCAAATGGGGATCCTTCTGCCTGCAAACTCCTATTCATCCTTCAGAACTCAGCCCAGAGGCCCAGGCTGGACTGTGTGTCTCCAAAGGCCCCCCTGGCCACTCAAAGCAGCCCTTAGCTTTCCCTCTCTGGCTGGAAGGAGGGCATGGCCTGGGACCAGATGAGGACGTGGAACAGTGCTAGGTGCTCAGGACAGCAGCCGAACGACTGAACGACCCCGTCCTGAGGATTCCAGAAACGGGCATGGTACCTGGACACCTTGCTTCCGTCCCTGCTGACCCCAAGGGCTTCCTTTCCTGGGGTTGTGATCATAAGCTGTCAGGGCTGGGCGGTGAGGTAGGGCCAGGGCAGGGGCTGGGAGGGAGAGCAGGTCCCCCCTGGGCCTGCCACTTCTGCCCACTCAGCACCTCCTGGGCCCCTAGAGGCCGCTGGGAAGGGAGAAAACAGGCCAGACCAGCTCAGCCTGGCACTGGCCACCCCCTCGAGGGTCCCCCCCATACCCGCCCTCCACTCCCTGCCATGAGGGCCCCAGGGACTTTGTCTCCACGGGGCCCAGGACTGTGATCCGGAACAGTGATAGGGGCTAATTTCAGGAGGCAGCCAAGCGGGCCCAGGGCCAAGGGCCGTTATGAAAAGAGGAAAGGACGGAGACAGCGGGGGTGGGGTGGGGTGGGGTGACGAGAGCCAGAACCCCACACTGGGGGCCAAGTTCCAGTCCCAGCTCTGCTGCTTCTTCAGTTGGTGACCTTGGACGAGGTCCTGACCCTCTCTGACCTTGCTCTGTCCATCTGCAAATGGGGACAGCAGCCTGGCCCGCGGCAGGGGAGGGTTCACACTCAGCCCTGAGCTCAGCACCCGCCGCTATTGTTCATTCTTGTTCCTGGACTGTGCTGCCCCAGGCAGACCTGGGCCCATGCCCAGCAGCTGTGGTCCAGGGGCTTCCCCGGGGCTCAAGGACATGAGCACAGTACCTTTTTCACAAGGTTCTCCCCTTGACTGTGGGGGAGATTGTTGGGCTCTGCCTTTCACACAGAGAAGGCACCTGCCCGGTTACCCATGCGGCCACAGGGCTGGGATCTGAGCCCCGGAGAGGAGCTGGGGACGATGGCCGATGCGATCCGATGCTCTTGACTCTCCCTGATACTAGGATTTGCCCAAAGGACCCAGGACTGCAGGGGTTAGAGTTGTGGGCCAGGACACTGGTGATAATGACAGTGACAACTTGAACTCTAGGCCCACAGTGCTGACAGAAGCAGTTCAATGAAACGGGGATTTGGCTGGGAGGGGCCCCAGAGGGGCAGGAAGAAGCCCCATCAAGGATGGGGGGCTGCAGAGGCGTCTGTGAACTAAGGCAGTTCTGCATAGCTCCTGGGCACCCTGGTCTGGGGGTCTCAAAGTCTCACCAAATTCCTGGGACCAGGGGCGGCCCCTTGGATGCCTTCCCAGCCTCCCCCTCCCCAGGCACAAAGCTTCTTTTCTGCCTTTGGTCCCTTGGCTGCCAAGGGGTGCTGGGGCCGCCTGGCTGGGGGTGGAAGGAGGGCAGATGGGGTGTGATACCCTCAGGCTGTCTCCAGTAATGCTGGGACCGGGCCACAAGGCAAAGCCCTGGCAGCCAAGGACCATGACTCCTCCAGCACCAGGTCTCTACTCTACCTAACGTTGGTGACAGCAGGAACCACTGTATGAGAGGCCCCTGCTGCTCCCACAAGGGATTGCTCACTCTCAGAACACACCCCAAGGCTGGGGCATGAGGAACAGAAAGGGAAACTGAGACCCAGACCATGAAGTGACCCATGTTTTGTCATGCAGGAGTGGGTGACAGCCAGGAATAAAACCCCTAACTCCTAACCATGACCTATCCATTTTCCTAGTCCCCCAAGGTGACAAGCTCCCTCTCTCCCCCGGGAGGGCCTCTTTAGGCTTCTGTCTCCCTGTCTGAAAAACAGGAGCGAGAGCCCTGCCTGCAGGGTTACTATGACACTCAGGCCGCTGTGACAGCCTTCTGGGAACAGATGGGGTGATAGTCCTCAGCAACAACCAGATACCTGTCTAGACCACTGCTGTCCTGTTCCAAACCCAGGAAAACCTAGGGGTGAGAGCTCAGTCTGGAGGGCCCTGAGCTGGCCTGGCTGGAGGGGACTCTGGGCCTTAAGCTCCCTCAACCGTCATCCTGAGCCGGACACTGAGAATTCCAAGTTCATCAGCACTGTCATCTTAACATCTGGGACCCCGAGAGCTCACATCCCTGCTGGGCCTTGGCTTCCTCCTCTGTGAAACAGGGACCATACACAGTGTGTGTCCAGTGGCAGCTGGGAAGATCTGGGGGCAACAGAGACGGGCCAGGTGCCCCCACTGAGCCAGGCATGGTTAGCCCGCGGTGGGTGGTGGTTGTGACATGCTGACACATGCCTGTCCCTGTCTCAGACAACTGCTCTTCTGGTCTCTGAATGCCTGGGACTCCTCCACCCTCCAGGCCTGCCCATGTCACCTACTTTTGCTAGCCCAGCAGGAGCCTGCTGGCCCCTGACCACTGGGAAAGGGGAATTTCTGAAAAGAATTAAAGAATTGAGGCCATAGGGGTTGGGGGCCGGGCTGGCCTTTGAATGGGATGAAAAGGCCTGGAGAGGCCTGGCTAGTCCACATTGTCTTCCATGGACAACGGCAGCTGGCCCTCGAGAGGGGACCCGGGCAGGGGAAGGGGCTGCAGGCAGATCAGGGGCCGGGGAAGGTTCATTAAGGCCAAAAAGACAGCTTTGAATTGCCACTCTTCCATGAATAGCTCAGGAGCCTAGAAGATTATGTCAGTTCTCTGACCTCAGTTTGGTCATCTGTTGGATGGGGACAGTTTTCCCTAGCTTCCTCAGTCCTTGCAGGATTAATGATGACACTATATAAAGGGCCCCACAGTGCCAGATACACGGAGATAGTCCATAAAGCAGGCAGAAAGAATGTTCCTGGCTTTGGGGGGCCCTTGAAGAGCTGCAGGAAGACAGACTGCTCTGTCCTGTCTCTGTCCAAAATGCCAGGTCCCCAGGGAGCCTCTGACACTGACCCACTGGGCTGAAACTCCACCCTAGTCCTTCCTCTAAGGGAAATAAATATCCCCGGCACTAAAAAAAGCCAGGAGCAGGAGAAGAGGGAAGGGGGTCCTGAAGGGTTGGCCAAGGTGGGGGTGTCCTGGCTCTTTCCCATGTGCCGGGGCTCCGGCGACACAAGTCCTGGGGAGCCTCTTCTCCATCCCTGCTCCCTTGACCTCTCCTGTCGGGCTCTTGGGCTGAAAGGGAGTGAATGAGGACACTGAGGGCTCCAGACACTTGGGAGCCCCGCACTCCTGGCAGCCTCGGTCAGAGAGCTCAGATAGCGGGGTGGCCCGGGTCCGTGCCCCCACTTCTCAGGCTGGCACTGAGGTGGGGAGCTCGGGGAGGGGGTCGCCTTCCGATCCGGAGATTGCACGGAAACGGAGATGTCCCCGCACTCCTGGCCCCCAAGCCGGGCTGGCAGTGCGCGGAGCGGGGAGCCCTTACCTGCGTCCAGAAAACGGGGTGCCCCCGACGCTCCACGCGGCGCCGCCTCCCGTGAGCAGGAGCCCGAGGCAGAGCAGCGCCCAGGCCCGCGGGCCGCCCATGCTGCGCCCGCCCGGCGCCCTCCGCGCGCGCTCCTCGCCGCCGCCCCCAGCCTGCGCCCCGGACGCGCCGAGCGGCTCCTAGCGCGGCGCGAGGGCGGCGCGCGCTCCCGGCCTCGCCCGCCCCTCGGCGCGGCCCCCCGCCCCCGGCACCGCCCTCGCCGCCAACCCGGAAGGAGCCCGGGGGGCCGGCGCCGCCTCCAGGAGGCCCGCCGGTGCCCACCTGAGCCCGCGCACAGCGCTTGGCACCGCGTGGCCCTTTGGGGGGCGGGGCGCTGTCGGATTTACATTGGAAAACTGGGACCCGGCCACTGTCCCAGACGAGCCGGCACCCGAACCCACCGAGCCTGAGCTAACGATGTTGGGGACTCATCCTTCTCCACAGCTTTGCGGAATGCAATTCCCGAAACCTAGGGACGCGCCTGTCCTTCCAACAAAGGGTCCCAAGCAGCCTATACCATTGCGTACTGGGCACCCTACCTCCACTTCCTCTCATCAGAGATTACGTTGAATCTTCAATTCACTCTGTGCGAGATGGGTGCAGTTGTCCCCATTTTACAGGTGAGAAAACCGAGATCCAGACATCCTTAGCCCACCCTTAGTTGATCCCATGTGTACACTGCCCTGCCCTCTCTTATTCCCACTTTACAGATGGGGAAACCGAGGCACGGAGAGGAGATGTCATCTACCCAACACACCCTGGCAGTGATTGGCTGAATTATGACTTGAATCCAAATCTCCTGACCACGGAAGGTGTCTCCGCTCTTAATCACTATTCAGAAGACCCTGAACAGCGCTTTGATCTGGGTTTTGCTATCTGTAACAGAGTAAGGATTGTCTTACAGTGTGATTTTTTCCACCTGGGGACATAGTGGGCTTCTAGGGGGAAGGCTGTGTGTCCAGAAAAGGTGTATGCAAGTTTGTAAGTGTGTGCATGTATAATGTGTGTTTGTGGACGTGGGCAGTCGACGTGTGCACACGTGATGCATGTTTGTGTGCGAGTCTGGGTTCCTCTGTGTGTGTGATCTGAGTGGGGATGGGCGGAGCTAGAGCTCTCACCATCAGAGGAGACCCAGAACCCCCAACCTCCCAGGATACTCTCTACTACCGACCCCACCCACTGCCTGCATTGGCTTGTGCCAGGCAGTCTTGGACTGGTGAACCCCTTGTTCTGCTCAGCTGTGCACTGGGGGCCTGTTCTTGCTGCCACTTGTCCAGGTCCAAACTCTGTGCCAGAAAGGCTCTATCAGCCCACTGTGGTTCCTGGGGACTGCCTCAGTGGTGGGAGCACCGGGTTCTGGACCTGAGTCCCAGTGGCAGAGTTATCACCCTTATGCTCACATTGAGGGCGCTGATTCCCCGTCCTGGGAGGGGGCCAGTGGTAAGAGCTGGGTTCACAGGGAGTGGAGTAGTGGTGCGTCTCTGTAATCCCAGGGAGGCTGAGGCAGGAGGATTGCAAATTCAAGGCCAACCAGGCAATTTAGCAAGACCCTGGAAGGGAGGAAGGAACGAATGAACAAATGAATGAATGAAGGAGGAAAGACCAGGAGTGGGAGTGTAGCGCAAGGGTAGAACATTTGTCTGGTGCATGGGAGGCCCTGGGTTCAATCCCCAGGACCACAAAGAAAAAAACATTGGATTCAACCCTGCTCTGCCATTCTGCCTAGGTTAGCATGGGCAAGTCTTGCCCGTCTCTGAACCTCAGTTTCTCTTTTTAAGGAGGATAGTTACAGGTTTCTTACAGGAGTATGGGCAGGATGGAGATGTCCCCTGCCTCACACTGTCTCCCCAGGGTTCCCCACTTCCAACAGCATCACCCCCGTGCCAGGTTTGCCCTGTTGGGCTCCTGCTGTGTGCTCTCACTGATCCCAAGGAGCTGAAGCTTTGGTGAGCCCTGATTCTGACCCGGCTAGATCAGTGACTTCACCCCACCCCTACATGACTTGTCACTCTTGAGAGGTCATGTCCCTAGAGGATCCGTGACCTACTTAAGACCCCAGTCAAGTGGCCTGCAGCAAAGTCCATCACCCCAAGGGACACTCTGAAGAGCATGTGGCTGCTGAGAAAGGAAAGGCCACAGGCAGTGGCTTCTGTCCTGGGGTACCTGGAGGGACTGAGAGGTGTCTGAGACTCCCGTTGGTACCACAGCACGAGGAGGCGATTAACAACAGGCTGAGAGGCTCAGCATTCCTTAACCAGCGTCACCAAACTTGTGGGAGGTTCCGGCTACTGTAGAAGATCCCTTTCCCAGTGAGGGACCCTCTCGGTAAAAGCTCTTTCAACATTTTAGCATCAAAGAGTGGCCTGCCCTTGCTAAGGCTGGGACACTACCACACAGGCTTGGTGTCCCATAGTCCTAGGTATCAATTCCAAAATAATCACTGAGGACTGTGTGACCTGAGACAAGTCACTTCCCCTCTCTGAGCCTCATTTCCTTGCTGGAAAAACAAGGATACACCGTAGAGTTTTCTCTTCTTTTCTTCTTCTTTTTTGTCATCATGGGGGTTAAACCCAAGGGTGCTCTACCCCTGAGCTACACCCCCGCCCCTTTATTTTACTTTTTGAGACAGGGTCTTGCTAAGCTGCTGAGGCCGGCCTCAAACCCGCCACCCTCCTGCTTCAGCTGCCCCCGTCTCTGGATCTCAGGTCTGTGCCACCACATCCAACCCCATGGGGTCTTTTAGGATCCCCCTGGCTCAACAGTCCACACTCCTGGGAGAGTGTGAGAGCTCTGGGTCTTCCTGTGGTGGTCCCAGGACGCGGTGGAAGCGCCTTCGAGAAGGGCTCACCCTCCCGGTGGAGGATGGCTGCTCCTGGTCTCCTCCTGGCTGAGGGGAAAGGCAGGAAATGCCGCGGGGCCTGGGCTTGGTCGTGGATGTTTCAGTGTCTGCTGAGACAAGGGAGGAGAGGGCTTGGTTGGCTTGAGGTCTGGGGCCTGCTTGTCCCTGCAGGCAGGGCCTCCCCCCTGGGGACCTGGCCCCCTCTGCTGCCAAGACCAAACCACAGCGGCCAGTAGCGACAGCAGTTTCCGTTCTGAGCGCTGACCTTGTGCCAGGCGCTGCCTAAGCATTTCGCTTGCACTGCCTCTTGTCCTCCTCTCTGCCACCCGGGTGGCAGTTATTGTCCCCAGGTGTGGAGTTCAGGGGTCAAGGGCTTCTCTCGAAGCCCACGGCTCATGGGTGACTGGCGTGCGCCCAAGCGCTACCCATTAGGCTTCACTGCCACCCTCTGGCTGAGCCCCACTGGGGGGCTTCTTTGGGATATGAGAGAACATGGCTCCGATTTGGGCTCCAGCACATGGACGTGGGCACGGACCTGGACCCACACACTGTGGACCACACAGGGACGCACACATGTGTCCCCACAGCAGGCTGTCGTGGGGTCTGGGAAGCAGGCATCGGGTACAGATCACTGACCCCTCCACCCGGCCTAGTCCAAACAGGAAATGCTTCTCTCCCCCTAACACAGCAGCCTGGCCGCAGCCTCCTTCCCTAGTGACTCCCAGGGTCCTGTCTCCTCCCACCCTGTCCCACTGGACACCTCCCCAGTGGGGGTGCCCTGGACGGCCAGTGCTGCTCACCCCCAGCTCCTGTGCCCAGGTGAGCCCTACCTACACCTGCCCAGTCTAGAGGTGAGCCGCAGCCCAGGGGGCCGAGAAATGCCCAGAGCCCCTGGCCGCAGCCCCAGGGGCCCAGGCCTGATGGCTGGGGTGGCCCTGGACACCCTGGACGCCCCAGCAGTCTTCAGAGGCTCCTCAGACAAAGGCAGGGCCTCCCTGCTCCTGCCTCCAGGTTAGGGAACAATGGCTGCTCTCTGGGCCTTTGATCAGGGGCTTGGCCCTGCTGCCCCCCCACTCAGAGCAGGAGACGCCCCGCTGGGGCAGGGCCGCTGGGGGACCCGGGGCCTGCAGCTGCCTGGCAGCGTTATTTCTGCTCCGTGGCTCTGCCCTGCTCACCCAGCTTCCTGGTCCCTGCAGCTCAGAAGGGGGCTGGAAGGGAGCGAGGGGAGGAAGGAAGCTGTCGGAAAGCCGTAAATTAGGGCTCGCAGGGCCTCCCCGCCCCCCTCAGGAATTCCTGGGAGGACAGTTGTGAGTCTTTGGGGTGGTGGTGGGGTCAGGCACAATCAAACGTGGCAGGACAGGGTGCCTAGGCGTGGAATTAGGTGACCTGGATGTTTGTGTCATCTAGAGAGAGTCCTTTTCCTCTGAGCCTCAGTTTCCCCATCTGGATAATGCTAAGAGGACTTGATGGTTTTTTGTGGGGGGTACTGGGTATTAACTCAGGGGCACTTGACCCCTGAGCCACATTCCCAGCCCTATTTTTTATTTTTTTAAAGACAGGGTCTTGCTGAGTTGCTTAGGGACTCACCATTGCTGAGGCTGGCTTTGAACTCGAAATCCTCCTGCCTCAGCCTCCCAAGCCGCTGGGATGACAGGCGTGAGCTACTATGCCTGGCTACTAGGACTTGGGGACTTTAATATGACTCTGCTCTCTTGCCTGTGAAGGGATGAGAAAAGAGAGGTCTTCTTAGCAATGTTTGTTCCCACTTCTCTTCCTTGGTACTTTCTCCCAAATCCTTCCCTCTGATCTCTATCCCCCGGCACCCCTGCACCACCAGGCTTCTCTGGGGTCCTTTACTCTGCTTCTCTTTCTATACCTTTCCTGAAAAAATGAACTAGTGAGGTCTCTGGCAGCATCCATCTAGCGAGGGTGTACAGGGAGGAGCTGTTGGTTCATTCATACTAAAGTGTGAATGACTGATGTGTTGGGTGTTGTTTATAGTCGGGAGGAGGGGTGATAACAGAGATTCCTCCCCCTTGAAACCCTAAATTGCTGGTGGTACACTTTTAGGCTGGTGCGTGGGGGCGGTTGGTGACCACGGGCCTGGTAACATGGTATGTAGGGGAGATGCCCATCTCCCAGACTCAGTGAATTGAAGGCCATTGCCTACTGGATGTGTCTGGAGTGGGGACCATGAGTTCCTGAGATCAGATGGACCTGGAAGGAGGGTGGAGAGACAGAGACGGAAGAAGAGACACA